GTGGCGCTGGAAACGTGTATTGCTGCTATAATGAGTGTCTGACTGGATGTAATTGTGCTTCTGTGCGTGTTATGAAAGTGAGTACAGTTCCGGTTATAACAATTATTTAGGAGTTATACTTATTAGTCCCAGTTATCACAGAGATACCTGATGTGTCATAGTGCTAATTAGCATGCGTTAGCATCGCGATCGCGATGCTATTCACTGTTTGTTCAGCTGAAGTGATTCAAATGTATAATGTTTGTTAGTAAATGTGGATGTTAGAGTGTGATTACATCCAATTATGTTCATTTTGTGAGGGAAGAGCCTATAATGTATATGTTAGTGCTGTCATGTGTAAGTTTGTTAAAGTAATGATGTATATTACTGATTGCTGATGCTGGAGTGTTATTATTTGTCTGTTACAGAGAAACCACAACTTTTATAAGCACAACTCATCGGCTACACGCTCATTTAATCAGGAAATCACCAATAACCAGCTAAGCAAGTGCAATCTTCAGTATATTGTGAGGAAAGGGCTGTTATGCGTCAATGGCCAAGTGATAGACTCATAGCACTCTGAAGGCTCATGGGACCACGGTATTCATACACATACTTCGGACCAATCACAAGGCTGGGCCTAAACGTCACGTCTGTGTGCGACTAATAATTGTGCTTTATAAATCATCCTCTGAACCTGTGCACCGGAACCAATTGGACACTTCATTGTACATCTGCTAATATTCACAGTTGGCTCTTCTCTCTCATGTTCATACTTACTTGCCACAATAAATCAGTTTGATTTCATCCTTCCCTCTGTCGTGTTCTAACAGACACACCTGGTTCACTGCTATACACAACGAGTTAGCCTCTGCTATCAGGTAGCCTTCGCTACACACACACTCATAGTAGAGAGGAGCCGCAGTCTGGGTCACTGCCATCAGCTGATTAAACAATCTGAGATTCTGTTAATACACTTTTAGTTTCAGGCTGTGTGTATACTTTAATGTTCAAATAAAGATAATGCAAAATATCAATGTTTGTAGAGATTTGTTGTTTGTTTCATTTTAGGAAGCCCAGGTCATCATTTTGTCGATAAATCCTGAAACATTTCATATGGACTTCAGTTTACACTCCCAATTCCCAAACCATTTCAAACTTTGATCTCAATTTCTCTAATTAAGCACTCTCAGAGTTTGTCAATAGTGACATTTTACATGTAATGTGGTAAAGAAAGAAAGCAGTTTACACCTATTACGAAAGTACTAAGACCATCTAGAAATACATATTCAGAAATTCAGTGACTACCCAAAATAAAAATGTTCAATGAAAACAATGAAAGAGAATTAATCTCTGAGCAGAGACTTTTTCTAAACCACTGATTAGAATCAGGATGGATTCATAAATGTTTCAGAAGGACCGCTTCATTAAAAAAAAACCCTTTCAGGTACCACAGATATATGTTTATGTGTCTACTTTGTTATATTTGTTATATTTATTGTGTTTAGTCTCAGAAAGGAAATATCTTGTTATTATGTGAACACATGGTGTAGCTCTTGTGCTGTTATCTGTGCACTGCAGTTTCAGGATCAGTAATTCAGGGTTTTTCCTGGCTCAAAATGAGACAGAGAAAGTCCTTAAAACAAACACGTGTGCATTATTCTTGTTATTTTTCAAGTAAAACATGATCTTATTTAAAAAGGCTGAATTTACATGTGATTAAATACATGATCAGTGCTGGAGCATCACTTGGTGTCTGACGGTAGCAGTGTCTGTCTGTCTGTCTGATTTTTGTCAAAAGGTGGATCTAGACCTGAATAATTGTTTAATATAGTGAAACTCCTCTGCTCTTTCAGTTTTGCTGATCTTCACCTGTCTTAACATAAACACTATGAAGGAATTCAGTCTGAGGTTTAAGAAATCTGAACACCTGAGTCACCAATGGGTAAATTAAGTTGTATCTTATGCCATCTTATTGTGAAAATGATTTCACACACAATGGTTTCATTTTTTTTTTTCAAATACACAAAAAATATCTAAATCAGCAGTTTTCTGTATTTTGCGATTTTTGTTTTTCTAATTTTTATGCTTTTGAATTGCATTACGGGACCTTAATCTTTCTTCTTTTAACTATGAAATATTAGAGAGAAAAATGTGAATTTTTATGAAATATTAATAACAGCCACGTTGACAATACTCACAATTGAATTTTCAACATTAAAAGTAGACAGAGCAGAGAGCAAGGTCCCATAATGCAATTCACAACCGACCGTAAATAAACGGAGATCCCGTGTGAATCAAGAAATACGGAAACTGTTCATCAACAGATATTTTACAGTGTATGGTGCTTTTGTGTTTTGCTGTGGCTGTTTTTGATAAAAAGGGCACCTTAAACATTGATAAAGTTGTGGAAAGGGGCAATTAAAGTATTGTAGGAATCTGAAAAATATATTAAATTAATAATACACGAAACAAAAACATCTCATCGTCACAAAATGTGTCATTTACTTTAGACTAGTGAACAATCACTGTAAGTCTGCCCAGCTAAATCCAAACACCGTCGACGTAAATAAAGCTTTACGTAGGTTTCGTAACGTGATGCAGGATTCAGACCAGAATCCTTATAAAGTATCTGAGAGAAACAGGTGTTTATGATAGGATATAAAATAAATAATTTAAGTTATAGGGTAAAGGGAATATAGTTAAATATAACCAAGTAGTGGAAGTAAAAGTAGGGGTAAGAGCAATGTGGTGGTTATTATTATTATTATTATTATTATTATTATTATTATTATTATTAGTGTAAATAGTAGTATGAGAGTATTGTGTTTATTATTATAACATAGGAGTAGGGGAGAGGTGTGTATGTAAGTATGTATGTGTGTGTATGAGAAGGGGTGGGAAAGAGGGAAGTGGGTGGAATGATTAGTCTGTAAACCTAACCGCTGGTCCACACTCCGGAGCTGAAGGTGGCGGTAATGCACCAAAACGCTGGATGCCAACCGCCGTAAAATTATAAGAAGAAGTAACGTGACGCAACCATCACTTGCTTCACAAAGCGAAAGCAAAAGTTCGCTGTTGGTGTTCGACATTTTAACTAGTTTTGATACATTTATAATGAATTTAGATTTAATTAGCCTATTTGAAAGAAAATGAAGATTTATGAATCTGTGTGTTCTTGATCAAGGTGAGTGCTTGGGTCTCGAAAGATTACCTGAGATCTACAGGTAATTTCCGCCTTTATGTTTTCGCTTTATGACTAATGTATTAGGACTTTTGATCATTTTTGACATCGACATTTATTTGTGTGAAAGCAGAGTTTCATTATTCTTTGACTATCAGGATATGTTCTGTTGAGTTTTATGTTTGTATTTTCCATGCAGGGTCAGAATTGTAGATCACATGATTTTTCAACATGGCTAACCCCGAAACATCCACAGATTCTCCAGCAGACAGGTATTTTGAGTAAACACTTCATTAAACCATTAAAAAACAGAATATGGCAAGATGATTAAAGCTCTTGTTGGAAAAATAAGAACAAACTACTAATATAGGCTACTAAAAACACTTAAAACAAACTTCTGTGAGACCTTATATTAAAGTTTAAATCTATTTTTGAAAAATAAGAACAAACTACTGATGTGTTTTAAAGAAAAGTATCTTTATATTATCTTCTGTTAGATATTAGCCTATATTACAGTGATAAACATAATCAACGTTTTAATATGCTATAGATATGTTCAAAAGAAGAGATCAGATCCAGAGCCCAGCTGTGTCTCTATGAGGAGTGACGGGTCTATGGATCATCCAATTCATTTTAAGACTGAAGACACACTGCCTGATCACAGGTATATTATTTAATATTTAATAGGAGTACGGCTTTTTTATTTTTTCAGAATAGTATCAGAAGTAATTCATGCAAGACATGAAAAATGTTGACTATTGTGGTTATTTTTTATCTTTTCAATAATGTCTATATAAATATAGTGTTGCTCATACAGAGGGACGACACATGAAAGCAGTTATTTCAACTTCACAGTTTCTGTATGAACATTGTAACTTTAATGAGCATAAATTGTTCTTACTGTAAGTGGGTTTTACAGATACATTAATATGTGCAGTAAATTGTGGAATATGATATTGTGAGAATTAAACCTTAATTTCTGTTTGTTTTAGTTCAGTTCATCAGAAAAGCTCAGAATCAGAGCCCAGTTGTGTGTCTATGAGGAGCTATGATAAATCTGTGGATCAGCCGTTACATGTTAGGAATGGAGACACAGAGACTGATCTCAGGTAAAACAATTATGTGAAGGTTACATGATGATGATGATGATGATGATGATGATGATGATGATGATGAATACAGAAAATGCTTTTTTATTATTAACTGTAATAATGGATTTTTACAATTTTACAGCCATAAAGCCCTCAACACATTTAGATCAAATCTGCTGAAGAAGTTTGAGTGTCTGTATGAGGGAACAGCGGCGCAGGGACACCCAACACTCCTGAATGAGATCTACACAGAGCTCTACATCACAGAGAGTGAGAGTGGAGAGATCAGTCATGAGCATGAGGTGAGACAGATTGAGACACAATCCAGGAGATCAACAACAGAGGACACAGCGATCAAATGCAGAGACATCTTTACACCTTTACCTGGACAAGACAAAGCCATCAGAACTGTGCTGACGAAGGGAGTCGCTGGCATCGGAAAAACAGTCTCTGTGCAGAAGTTCATCCTGGACTGGGCTGAAGAGAAGGAGAATCAGAACGTCCAGCTCATATTTCCACTTCCTTTCAGAGAGATCAATCTGATGAAGGACAAAACACTCAGTCTGTCAGATCTTCTTCAGCTCTTTTTCCCTCAAACTAAAGAAATGGAAATATCCAGTGACAAATATAAAGTGCTGTTCATCTTTGATGGTCTGGACGAGTGTCGTCTTCCCTTAAATTTCAAAAGGAATAAGACTCTTAGGGATGTGACCAAAACATCATCAGTGGACGTGCTGCTGATGAACCTGATTGTGGGGAATCTGCTTCCCTCTGCTCTCATCTGGATCACCTCCAGACCAGCAGCAGCAGATCTCGTCCCCTCTGAGTGTGTCCATCGAGTGACAGAGGTACGAGGCTTCAATGACCCTCAGAAGGAGGAATACTTCAGCAAGAGAATCAGTGATCAGAGTCTGGCCAATACAATCATCTCACACCTGAAGTCCTCCAGGAGCCTCTACATCATGTGCCACATCCCAGTGTTCTGCTGGATCTCAGCCACTGTTCTGGAGAAGATGTTGAGTGAAGCAGAGACTACAGAGATTCCCAAGACTCTCACTCAGATGTACACACACTTCCTGATCTTGCAGACCAATATCAAACATCAGAAGGACTATGAGGAGAAGCTGACAGATGAAGACATGATCCTCAAACTGGGGAAAGTGGCTTTTCAGCAGCTCATGAAAGGCAATATAATCTTCTATGAGGAAGACCTGAGAGAGTGTGGCATTGATGTGGCAGAAGCTTCAGTTTACTCAGGATTGTGCACTCAGATCTTCAGAGAGGAGTTTGGCTTGTATCAGGGGAAAGTCTTCAGCTTTGTTCATCTGAGCATTCAGGAACATCTAGCGGCTCTATATGTGCACCTCTCCTGTATAAACAACTACAGAAATGAGTTTGAGCAAATCAACAATCACAGTTTGTTGTCAAAAGTTAAATTCATGTTCAAATATGATCCCTTATCTGAGCTGCATCAGAGAGCTGTAAATGAGGCTCTACAGAGTAAAAATGGACATCTGGATCTTTTCCTGCAATTTCTTCTGGGTCTGTCATTGGAGTCTCATCAGATTCTCCTACAAGGACTAATAAACCTGAAAAGCAGATCAATCCAGAATAATAAAACAGTCGAGTACATCAAGATGAAGATCAGGACCATCGACTCTCCAGAGAAATCCCTCAATCTGTTTCACTGTCTGAATGAACTGGGTGATCATTCACTAGTGGAGGAAATACAGCAGTATCTGAAATCTGGAAAAATAAAGCAGTCAGAGCTCTCTTCATCTCAGTGGTCAGCTGTAGTTTTTGTGTTGTTGACATCAGAAAATAAACTGGATAAGTTTGATATTAATGAGTTTGTTGGAGAAAGCAACAAAGCTGAGAAACTGAAGATCATTCAGAAGCTGCTGCCAGTGATCAAAGTTCAGTAAGTATCATTAACAACAAACACGTCACTGTTAAAGCTCATTAAATGTAAATCTCTTAGAAAATTCATATCAGTTACTAAAGCAACATGGAAACCTAGTGGTAACACGATTTGACAAGTTTAAGATTTTAATTATTATATTTAATAATTATATAAAAGTCTTATAATATAAAAATTGTAATTATTATGCTTATTCGAGAAACATTGTTTACCTCTTCATTTTACCTCTGTCATCGGGCAGATAGTGGGACACTTAAGTTCACTTCACTATATTGCAATCAAGTCCTAGTCTAAACATAAATGATCACCAATCTTTAATGCTTTGATACAGATTTAAGCTTGATCTTGTTTAAAGAAGACACTTTCAGATTGTAGCTATAGTGAAAATACATTAAAAAAGGTAAATGTAACAGATATTACGTGCCTTTACAGCAAGTTTATGAAAATAATAAAACAGTAAATGTTTATTTTAGTAAATGCAAAAGTTTGTTATTTTATTTTTTTTAGAAAATTAGTTTTAATCTTAATTTGACAAAATGAAAGCTAAATATCTGAGCAAATTATATTCCAAATTTGAAGTTGATATCTCAAAAAATGAGCTTTCAGTCAAGTTTTGTTTGGTCGCAGTACCAGATATGACCACTAGTTTACATTCACTTTGCAGTGGTGACTGTATGAAGGTGCCTGCTATTTCTGTGTATTTTTCAGGAATATGAATCATATTTTTTATGACAATTTGTAAAGTAGTTTGGGCAGTTTGATGGTGTTTGATTTTGAAATTAGCCCCCAAAAATCATTTTAAAATGTTTTACATGTGGATTGCTGTAGCAAAGTAATGCTTAACAACAAAGTATCCATAGCAGATTTTTTTTCTATTGTTCAGTTGTTTTTAGATGGGAATGATGATAAGGAGATGATAAGGCAAATAACAAGCTGGACTGACACTTTAAACAAACAGGTTACAAATGAGATTAAACCCTTAATATGGATTTGTTAATGTGTGTGTGCTCTGTTTTGGATGTAAACCAAAAATCTGAAATGATAAGCAAATATTTCAACATTAACAGTTTACCCAAGTTGGATCAACAGCTATGATTCCATCCATCTGTTATATGCACATTTTGGATATGCACATAAAAAAATAGTTAATGAGTAAGATACACTTTTTATTCAACTTATAAGCTACGATGGAAACACTTTAACTGAACAAATTCCAGCATGTGCATTAAAAAAGTCATGTGATTTTGTTGCGAAAGATCATGTGATGATAAAGATGTGTGAATGGACAAACCAGCAGGCTGAGCACACTATAAAGCATCTGAAGTGCTGTTTTGGTCATAGCTCTGCTCTTAGCCACAACAGAGAACAAGTACCAATCATCCACAAGTCAGATTTTAAATCACAACAGTTCAACAGTTCTCAACAGGTTTAATTTAACTGAAGCCCAGCTAGTGCTCTGGAGAAAGGTTTCTCTCTAGCTCCTTCCTCAACATCCAAGTGTTTGGCCTGTGTTTTTATCCCTTCTGACGTCTCCATGGTAAGTGAACACAGCTGTGGGACGCAACCAGCAACCTGCTCGAGACTCAAGAGGGGAGCAGTCAAGGCAACAAAAGAAGAACAGGGATAAAGACATTTGACACAATATAAACAAAATAGCTTTAAACTATACGTCTCTAAACGTAACAAGAGTGTCTGTGTCTCACGCCTTCAAATGCACCACTTATTCATTGCGTGTCAACACAGAAAAGATTCACGCAGCTTCTGCAGCAATTCTGCTACTGCAGCAAATTCATTTTCCTGTTAATTGATGTTTTACTATTAATATTTGGCACCAGTTAATCACAAACTTTGTTCTCGTTGACTTGTTGGATGGAAAAGTTGGTTTATTTGTCTTTGATGCGATATTCCAGTTTTATACATACTGTAAAGTTAATTTGCATTTTTGGATTGAAAGTGTCAGTTGGACAGAGCAAAAGTTGTAAAGTGCAACACCAAAATCAATACATATAACAAAAGCAAGACCAATAATAATATTAGCATTAGTTGAGAAGTGTTATATGTCGTAAATATATTGGGTGTCATTTGTCAAATTTTATTCTTGCTAATTAAAGTCACTGATCAAGTTTAACAAAATTTTTTTTTCATGCCGGCAATGGACAAAGTATTAAATATTTGAGTATTGTGTAGAGCTGCATATATTGGTGGCTGTATCGCTCTCAGTGGTTATTCAGCCATAGCAGAATCAGTGGATTAGTGGTTAATTAATGTTACAGGGATCATACGGTCATGGAAAACCTGGAAAAGTCATGGAGTTATGACTTGGCATTTTTCAGCCCTGGAAAAGTTTTGACAATCAGAAAAACGCATAAAGTTTTGGAAAAGACATGGAAATTAGTTTAACAAATATCTGTATACCTGAATTAGGGCTGCGGGATATTTGGAAAAAGCTGACATTACAGTATTTTGTATTTTCTGTGATATATATTGTGATGGGAATACAATTTCACCATGATTTAACAAGTTTATTTGGATTGATTGGCGGGATTTTGTATGGGAGTGAATCTCTAATAATATATATCAAATAAATTAGAAGCATAGATAAATAAAATATAGCAAAGAAAAAAAGTGAATTATAGTTTACAGGGATTTACTATTCAGGTACAGATATTGAATAATCAACACTGCATAGTTTTATGTGTCTTGTGGCCGGATGTTTTAAAACAGTCCTCAACCCTGTTCCTGGAGATCGACCTTCCTGTAAAGGAAGGTCATCAGGGACTTTTTTTCCCTCTTTTTTTATTTGCCATTGTTGTCTTATTATTTTATTATTTCTGTTGTTTTATTATTATTATTCTGGGTGTTTAACAAGTATGTCTTCATCTCTCTACAGTTTAAGGGATTGTGGCCTCAGTGATAAAGACAGTGATGCTCTGACTTCAGTTCTGAGATCAAACCCTGAACACTTGAGGGATCTGGATTTCTGGGATAAAAAACTAAAAGATTCAGGCATGAAGCTCCTCTCTGCTGTATTGGAAGATCCTCACTGTAAACTGAAGACACTGAGGTAAGATCATCATCATACATATTAGGACAACATATTAAAAAAAAATACTTTTAAAATAGAATCAGTGAACACATTCAGATAGTTCTCATAAATCACAGTGAAGCATGAACTGGGTGTGTGATGGTTTTATATATTTATATATCGTAGTACATAAATGATTTAAGGAAAAAATGTTTATAAACTTAAGTTTTATTTAAAGCTTAATACATTTGTTGAATTGACAAAGAGCCTCGACATTGAAATATAATAAATCAGTACACAATAAAATATAGAAATTAAAAAGAAATACAAGAATCAAAAACATTTATGAACTTTTATCTTTTCTGGGTTGAAATAATAGTCCTTATTAAAAAGAAAAAAAATATGTCAGAGTAAATGTATATTAGAAAATAAATATTAAGTTTTAAAATCAAATGCAAATACTTCAAGCAAACACGTTTTTTGAATCAGCTGACAGGAACCTGTTTTCACCTTAAGACTTTTTACAATTTTTAAAGTAGTATTTTTTATTATATTTTTCCCAAAACAAACAAACAAAAACATCATCATTCACGTACTGACATAAGAAAAAAAATATTTCTTTCACTTTGGAGTTAAACATGAAAGTGTTTTACTTTAATCCTCACTCATACACATACAGTGCATCCAGAAACTATTCAGCGCTTCACTTTTTCCACTTTTTTATGTTACACCCTTATTTCAAAAGGGATTAAATTAATTTATTTCCTCAAAATTCTACCCCCAATCCCCCCCAATGACAATGTGAAAAAAGATTTTAAATTTAATTAAAAATTAAATTTTTTTAAAATTTTGGGATCCAAACAAAATTTTTCCCACCCTTTGCTGAAAACCCCTCCAAAAAGTCACCCGCCACCCCAACCCCCCCCCCCCCCCCCCCCCCAAAAAAAAAAAATAGAAAAGGCAAGGCATGAATAGCGTGTTTTTACGAATACTTATTTCGAAAAAATACTTGAAAAATTATTTGTATTTGGGAGCAAGAAAAACATAATCAAAAAGCAGCGTTTCCTCATGAGACCGCAGTGCATGCCCGCGTGAGTGAGTGAGTGAGTGAGAGAGACGCTCAGGAGTCGGAGGGCGGGTGGAGGTAAAAGGTCTGGCATAGGCTTCTCCACACAGAAACAGACAGAAAAAATACTTCACTGTATCACAATTTTTGTTAAATAGATTTTTGTACCTTAATTGGGTTCCAGAGGCAGTTTATGAACTTGTAGCGTAGTTGAAGCGGAGTTTGTTCGGGATTTTCCATTACGCTGCATTTTTGAAGTTTGCAATCGGGTGCTCTCTGTTTACGCAACGTTAGCTCTGTTAGCGCAGTAATTTAGACAATAGACTGTTGACAGAGTAACGTTAACGTTCGTTTATAAAGGTTAAAACGATGCTTGTGCAGTTGTGTCGAATAGTATGCACTTATGGGAGTTATATGGTTTGTCTACATTACTGTCTTTTGCAGACCGCAAGATATATACTATAGGCTAGTTAACCTTAGCATAGCTTCCCGTCATTTATTAACTTGAAACTCCTCAAATACATTTGGGCACCCAAATAGAAAAAGAGTGAGACTGCTGCTGAGCCATTTCTTGGTCCTCAAAAAAAATGTTCATGTCAGTGGTGCAGCAGGTAAAACAGTTACACTGTATGTAATGTGTGCAAAAGTGAAATCAGCAGAGGCAGAGATATTAAACATATGTCAACATCTTCTATGCATATTCATTCATTCATTTCTTTTCGGCTTAGTCCCTTTATTAATCTGGGGTTGCCACAGTGGGATGAACCACCAATTTATCCAGCATATGTTTTACGCAGTGGATGCCCTACCAGCTGCTACCCAGCACTGGGAAACATCCATACACTCACTTTCACACACATACAAGAGGGACAATTTAGCCTACTCAGTTCACCTGTATTGCATGTGTTTGGACTGTGGGGGAAACAGGAGCACCTGGAGGAAACCCACGCCAACATGGGGAGAACCCAGTCGAGGCTCGAACCAGCAACCTTCTTGCTGTGAGGCGACAGTTCGCCATCGCGCAATCCTATGTAATGTATTATCACATGCACTAAAAGCATCCTCTCCTGATACTGTCTGTGAACCCCCCACAAGCATCAATCCCCTCATCAAACACTAAGCGGTCATTACAAAGCTCGCTCCATTTTTATGGTTACCCACACAAACAGCTCCGTCTTAATTAGTTCCACTAAGTAAAAGTGGGATGGGATTTTAAATCACACGACATACGCTAATGTATATATGTGTATTGCTTTAATTGAAATTTCAATGTCTATGTTTTTTTTTTCTTGTTTGGACATTTAATGAAACAAAGTAGAAAGAATGTTCACTTGGCTTTCTTCTGGAATTTGCTGACTGAATAGAATAATTATTTATAATTAGAATAATTAGATTTTTTCTTTATTAATAAACTCACCTTCACACTCAGTCAAATATAAGGATCATGAAGATTTTCCATCTTTATTTTTTTTTTAATTAATGTCAATGTTGAAACTTTTCAGGATTTTTTTTTTTAAATAAAAAGTTCAAAATCACAGTATTTATTTTTTTTAAATGATGTTTTCATGAAAGAAAACATTTTGAAAAAAAATACATGTTTAAATTGCAAATATATTTTACAATATTAAAGTTTTGTTTATCTCAAAGTTTTCACTGATTGTGTGCATATTATAACTTGTAGCACAGCACATTTCAGCAATGTTAATTTGTTTTCTAAATAATTGTGAATTTTTACTACATTTTTAGTTTAAGGATTATGTAGGAACAATATAAACACAGTATATACAGTAGTGTGCAAAAGTCTGAAGCCATTAGTATTTTCACCAAGAAAAAGGTTTAAAGTCAATGATTTTTATAATATTCAGTAGCATGACAGTTTAAAATATAAATGTACATTAATTCAAGCATTATTTCTGCCATTAATTGTAATTGTTGAGTGAGAATATTGTCTGCACAAGGAGTTTGAGAATGGCCAGTGCTCCACACAGAGATCTGTCTGCAATGACATGAAGAAACAAAACAAAATGAGACAAACTCAATCCAGAAGAACTCTGGCAACATCTCGAAGTTTGTTCGGTTTCTTCATGTCATTCCAGACAGATGATGATCAGATCTGATCTCTGTGTGGAGCACTGGCTGTTGGCACACAATAATCTCACTCTAGAACTACTATTAATGACAGAAATAAATGTTTGGAAATGTAAATTAATATTTCAAACCGACATCCTACAGAAAATACAGAAATAACTGACTTTAAACCTTTTTTAGTGAGAATACTAGTAACCTAAGACTTTTGCACAGTAGACCTACTGTACAGAAAAAAACTTGGTCAATTTCAGAATTTTGCTCAGATAAGCAGTCTTGAGGAGCTGAAGAGACTTCTTTTAAAAACAAAACAAAAAACATCATAATTATCTCACATCAAATTCAAACAAATCAAATTCAGCAATGCTAATAGTGTAAATCAATGGTCTCAAACTCCGAAGGGCCACAGCTCTGCATAGTTTAGCTCAAACTATCTCCAACTCACACCTGCTTAATATTCTGTAGTAGCATTGAGCACCTCGATTAGTTGGATCAGCTGTGTTTGATTAGGGTTGGAAAACTGTGCAGAGCTGTGGCTCTCCAGCAATGGAGTTTGAGAACTTTGGTGTAAACAGTGTCATTATTAAAATGATAATGAAATGTGTCGTTGTTCTCTACAGGTTGAGTTATTGTGATCTCACAGATGAAGGTTGTGCTGCTTTGGCTTCAGCTCTGAGATCAAACCCTGAACACCTGAGAGAACTGTATCTGTCTGGGAATAAACTAGGAGATTCAGTGACTCTTCTCTCTGCTCTACTGGAGGATCCTCACTGTAAACTGGAGACACTGTGGTAAGATCATATTTGACTCTCACATGTGAAACAGTGTAAATTTCTTTAATTGAAATGTTCTTGGTTGGACATTTTATAAGAAAGTAGAAGGAATGTTCAGACAACAGCAGACATTAACTGATTCAATTCAAGGTCATACATCATCTACACTACACTAAAGCCAAGCTACATAAAATCTTTCCTTCTGTCTCACCAATGTGTGATGATGCAAGACAGCAGGGGACACGGTTGCTCACGCCTTTTGGCTCTGTGTCTTAATAGATTTTCGACAAACGTATTTGACTAGTACTCAAAGGCTTATAGCAAACCTTTTCTACCAGATGCTGAACTTGCCATCTTTGGCTTCTCACAAAATACATCTTCTCTCCCTCAAACAATGCAGGAGTCTTTAATGCAAGGCAAAGTGGTGGCTAAAGACTAGTCCTTAACAATTGGAAATCACCTTTGCCCCCTCATTCCAGAACTGAATTTTTGATGTGAGATCAGATTATTCAGCAGTTTTTTAAGGACTAGCTTTATAAGAAAAGTTTTGGCTACTGGGGTCAATTTCTTGATTTATCTCACAAATCTATATCTCAGAAGTAACCTAGTGACCCCTCTGAGGTTTAAAGTTATATACCCTCTCTAGTTGATTATATGTTTTATGACTGTGATGTATTTTTTGTTTGTTTTGTCTCTTTTCTTTTTTGTTTTCTTTATATTGTCTTTTGTATGTCTACAGTTCAAGCCAGTGTTTGTTCTTGTTCTGTGTTTGTGTATATATAAAAAAACTAAAATGAAGTTAAAAAAAAATAGTAGAGGGGATGTTTGTTTGGCTTTCTTTCGCAATTTGCTGATTGCGTACAATCAAACAATGTGTGTTTTTTATATAAACAACTCATTCACAATCAGTCAAATATAAGGATCATGAAGATTTTCCCCATTTTATTTTTTTTATTAATGTAAATGTTTAAAGCAACTTTTGTTTTTAAACAAATATATAAATATTTTTACTTTTCAGGATTTTTGATGAATAAAGCTCAATATCACAGGATTTATTTAAAAAAACAAAATATAATATTTATATATTACAGTTGGTTTTAATCAATAAATGTCTTCATGAATAAAAATTTTGAAAAAGAAAATAAATAATGTTTAAATTGTAAAAATATTTCATGATACTGAAGTTTTGTTTATCTCAGTTTTCACTGATTGTGTGCATATTGCTACTGATAGCACAGCACAATTCAGCAATGTTAACAGTGAGAACAGCATCATTATTTAACTGTTTTGCTGTTATCTTATCATTTACACTGAATAGATGTTTTATTTAAGCAGGATAAACTTTCTACCTATGTTTTGTTCTCTGTGACATTTTAGACCTCAGACTAATGATCCATCAAATGTTAATTTATGCGTTACTTAAACTTTAATAATAGATTCACTGAACTCATGTGATGTGAGAGTGAAGAGTGTGTCGTTGTTCTCTACAGGTTGTATAATTGTGGTCTCACAGATGAAGGTTGTGCTGCTTTGGCTTCAGCTCTGAGATCAAACCCTGAACACCTGAGAGATCTGGATCTGTCTAGGAATAATCTAGGAGATTCAGTGACTCTTCTCTCTGCTGTACTGGAGGATCCTCGCTGTAAACTGGAGAAACTGTGGTAAGATCATATTTGACTCGCATGTGAAACACAATATAAAGTAAAGTGCATCCAGAAAGTATTCATAGCGCTTCACTTTTTCACATTTATGTTATAGCCTTATTGCAAAATATATTAAATTAATTTATTTTCTCAATTCTACACACAATACCCTATAATGACAATGCGAAAAGATTTTTTGAAAGTGATGGAAGTTTATTTTTCAATAAAAGCTCTAAATTGAGCTCAGGTACATTCTGTTTCCAATGACTCACAAAACGCGGCAAAAAGTCCTACATGACTGTAATAGTTTGATTAAGGTGTTTACATGTCACTAGTTCAATAATGAGGCTAAAATCAGCATACTCCACATGTATCTTAATTTGATTTCTCTTTAGTTCGACTGACCTCAATCTGATAAAAAAAAAAAAACTTACTAATCAGAGTATTGTCTTAATCGCATTAAAGGGACGGTCACGTGGCCCGGAGTGAAATAGCTGCTTGAATTCTTTGCTCCGCTCGACTTAGTAATTAAATCACAAACTTTTTTTCTCCAAATTCTTGTTTCATTATGTTGAACAGTCTATTAATATGTCAGACACACCATCTGACAAGGATTTTCCTATTTTCGTTGCAATGCGTTCTACTTTTATCCTATCTTCAAGATATGATACCAAAATGGTTAGACCTGCTGGTGGGTTCCCCTGCTCTAGACATTGAAAGAGCCCATAGAACTCTCACTTTTGCATCTGCCAACTGAACTCAGCTCCGGGAAGCATCTTATTTCAATTTCTGAGGTTCCCTGATAAAGAAGCAATCTTTAAAAATGCCATGAAGAAGACGATCACTCATAATGGCTCGGAGCTTCGATTCTCTGATCTGTCAGCTGGCCTGCTGCAGAAGTGCCGTGAGTTCGGGACTGTGGGGAAAGCCTTTGCCGCCTGTGGTTTATATAGTGGATTTGCTTATCCAGGCACGCTCAGATGTCTACATAATGGAAAGATTCGCCTGTTTAACGACAGGACAGCTAAATTTATTTTCTGGCTGAAAAATATACTCTGACTTTCGGTGGAACATTCTAGTGATTCCAATGGACAAGTAACGTTATGTAGTATAATTTCTAAGGTAACGTAATATTTAGAATCAGGGCTTTACATTAACACCCGCCAAATGCGGGTAGATTTCAGCTTTGGCGGGTTAGACAGTCACTCCCACTAGCCAATTTGGCTGGTTAAAAATAATTTTTAAATTGTAGTTTTCCTAAAAGCAGGGTTCGACAATATAAGGTTAACCCAATATGTGTGCAAATGCGATCTTACAATCGAGAAGTAGAACAATTGTGATCACGCGAGCAGAAGAAAGCAAGTGAATACCGAATGAGAGGATGATCATCACTCGCGCTAACAGCTGATGTGATGCGCGCGACTTCTTTAAACGCATGCGCGCTCCTGTTTCCTTTCGTGAGGCAACCGTGTCTCAAACAGGGTCTGGAAACGCAACTATGATCGGTTCTCTTACAAACAGACAAAAAGTGATGAACATGCACTCACAGTCCTGCTGCTTTCAAGCGCTCAGAATGTGTCTTTTTGTAAGCAGCACCAGTTGCTTTCACTTTAAACAGATTATTAATTGGCCTAAAGTTAACCTTGCATGTGATCATCCTTTCATTATCACACACGGTGTGGTTTTTCACCTGATTTTATTTGCCTATGGTTTTATTTGCGTTTATGTTTGTTAAAATGGTTTAATGATCTTTTTTTTTTTTTTTACGACATTGCTTTAATGGCAGATTAACTCTCCATTTATGTGCAGTTAACTGGTGATCTGAGAGATCTTTAGCCAGGACAGATAATGTGCATATTTTTGATACATGACAATAGTTGTTTTTTTAAAGTCAATTGCTTTTCTTTCTTTTCTTTTTTTTAGAAATGTTTTTTTTTTTAATAAAAAGTATAGTATACAGCTATATTTTGATTGTTTTGACATATTTAAAATTCATGGCTAAGAAATAATTATTGTTTAGTGTGGTTATAGAGATAAATTTGATAAATCCTTATCTTTGAGCTCTGAAAAGTCATGTGAAATAAAAACTAATTGCAATATAACTCTATGAAACCACAACCCATTTGCTCATGCTCATTAAACAAGCTCATACTCGACACACAGAAAGTGAAATGAATGAGGACGCATGTGTACATAACACAAAATTTAAATCAAGTAATTTTAGCATGTCAAAGTCAAATTTATGCATATAAAATATGTTTTCCCAACAACAAAATTATGGCTAGTGAAAATGCAGAGTGGCTAGTAACATTGAAAAACTACTAGCCACAGTGGCCGGTGATTAAAAAAGTGAATGTAAAGCCCTGTTTAGAATGCTGCCGCCAGCCACAGAGGGTTATAATGTTTAATATATTTTGTTTGTGGTTGCTATACAGTATAAGTCATTGTTCATGTTTATTTTAATTGTTTTATTTATTTAGATTTTCTCCAATGGTGTCACACATTAGTGATAATTATTTATATTAGAGATGACAGTGGAGCGGATTATGACAGAGCTGTAACTTGGTGGTTTCAGTTATGCTATTGATCATTTTTTCAAAGTTCCTTGTTTGGTTTTGTGACTTTTTGATATTATCTGTGCCTCATCAGTTGGGGATGGGGTCTTTGGGGGAGGGTTTTATAGGGTTATTTTGAGTTTTATTTGTGGTACTCTCTTGTTTGCATTTGGTATCTTGTACAATTGTTATTTCTTTTAATGCATACTATCATTCATATGACTTTTTGTTGAATTTTTTAATTTGCTTAATTCTCTTAAATTAGTAACATGGAACGTGAAAGGCATAGGCCATGTAATTAAAAGAAAGAAAATTCTAACATTTCTCAAGAAAGAAGGTGTATCTATAGCATTATTACAGGAAACACATTTGTCAGATAAGGAACATTTGAAGCTAAAAAGAGATTGGGTCGGCCAGATATACTTGTCCTCTTTCACGTCAAATAGTAGAGGGAACCGCAATTCTTATTCATAAAATTATTCTGTTCATCTCTGAACATGTCGAGCATGATTCTGAAGGAAGATTTGTGTTAATTTCTGGTCTAATTCTTGGAAAACTCGTTACTGTTGTCAATGTATATGCCCCAAATGTGGACTGCCCTAATTTTATTTCTCACGTCATTCTAAAGCTCAATCAGCTCTGCAAAAACTTTGGAGGTGATTTTAATTGCATACTTGATGGAAATTTGAATAAATCCTCACCTCAGTTTTCAATGAGTTGCAAATCATCACATATATTACGTAACACTTGTAAAGATATCAGATTAGTGGATATTTGGAGGGAGCTGCATCCTAAAAACAGAGTTTATACTTTTTATTCTCAACCCCATAAATCATATTCATGATTAGATTATTTTTTCATACCCTCCGATTGTATACACTATGTGAGTTCTTGTCAAATTGGCCCTATTGTGCTGTCTGATAATGGCCCGGTTTATTTAGTCATTGATATAGTATACCTATTCAAAAATCTAATTATTGGAAATTCAATAGCTCTTTAAGTAATACTGGCTTTTGCTCTTTTATTAGACAGAAAATTATTTAGTATTGGCAAAACAATCAGAACTCCCCAGTTTCACCTCCAATAAAATGGGATGCAGCCAAGTCATCTTATTGCTTACGCTGCTTTAAGCAAAAAGCTAAAGATACAAAAAAGGAAGAATTAAAAGAAAAAGTACCTCACCTAGACAAACAACAAACATTTGCCTAATCAAGATAATTGGATATTATTCAATAATGCTAAAGCTAAACTTGAATTAGACCACACAGAACATATCAAGAAATTATTATTTTATACTAAACAGCGGTACCATGAGTCCAGTAATAAACCCAGTCACCTTTTGGCCTATCAGTTAAAAAAGGAAGAGAAGGAAAGAACTTTAAAAGCAATTAAGACATCTGCAGGTAACATGACTTTTGATCCTCAGGACATTACCACTTCTTCTGACTTTTATAGGAATCTTTAAACAACCAATTATTATTGATCATATGAGGATTTGATTAATTATTTAAAGGAGATTTCACTTTCCAGCATTTCTGATGACGCTAGGAGTCTTTTTAATGCCCCTTTTTCTGAAGATGAAATCTGGCATGCTATTCAGTCAATGCCATACAGTAAAGCTCCTGGCCCAGATGGGTATTCATTAGAGTTTTATAAGCAGTTTTGGGCTGAACTTTGCCCTATTTTAAGCTGGTGATAAATAATCTTTTTGAGATGAACTCTACGACTGAATCCTGGTCAGTGGCAATTATCAGCCTGCTTTTAAAAAAAGACAAAGATCCAACAAATTGTTCATCTTATCGCCCAATTAGTCTACTTAATGTACATTATACAATTATAGCCAAATCCTTAGCTCGACGACTTGAAAATGTTTTGCCTTATGTTGTTAATCCAGACCTAACTGGTTTTGTGAAATTCAGGTACGGTTCAGACAATATTCGAAGAGTTCTAAATATTCTAGATCCTTTAAATTTTACCAAGGAATCTGCTTTTATTGTATCCCTAGATGCTGAAAAGGCGTTTGATAGTGTAGAATGGCCTTTTCTTTGTGCAGTTTTAAATAAAATACAGTTAGGATCCAATTTTTATTGATTTAATCAAACGCCTGTACTCTAATCCTATAGTCCAGGTTAACACTAATAGAATGTTAACTAATAGCTTTTCAATAAGCAGAGGCTGTCATCAAGGCTGCCCTCTTTCACCTCTGTTATTCTCTCTGGTTATTGAACCACTGGCTATTGCTGTGAGAACTAATAGTAGCATACATGGTATTAAAATAGGTCTGAGGAACATCTTATATCTCTGTATGCAGACAGTGTTTTATTGCATCTTAAACTCCCTGACACCTCTACTGATGTAATTCTTAAAGTAATTGAAAAGTATAGTACTTTTTCAGAGTATAAAATTTAAGATTAATTTGGATAAATCTCAAGCTTTGTATATGCATGCTCGCTCTGAATTCATTTCAAAATCACACTTTCATCTTGCACTTTCTGGATTCCAGTATTTGGGAATTCATATTACTCCCAATTTGAAAGACCTCTTTAAAGCCAATTATCCTCCTTTAATCATAAAAATTCTTCAGAACTTATCAGATTGGTCGATCTTTTCCTAATTCTTTTTTCGGCAGGATCAATGTTATAAAAATGAACATCCTTCCGAGATTAAACTTCCAATTTCAGAATCTGCCATGTTACTTGGATATAAACTTTTTGTTTTAAGAGGATTAATTCCTCAATTTCAAGGTATGTTTGGAATCACAAAAAAACAGGCTTAAGTTTTCGCTGTTGATGAAATCAAAGGAATTGGGTGGGGTTTCACTTCCCCATTTCCAATTATACTTTTGGGCTGCACAAATTAAGCAAATGTTAAATTGGTTTCTTTGCAGATTTGATTCACGATGGGTTGGGATTGAACCTACAAGATGCTCTCGTGGACTCTTATGCTCTCTACCATTTATTCATAATATACAAAGAATTCAACATCTGACTAGCGTTGTCAAGCTTCAATATTACTGCAAGCCAAGTCACCTATTACCCTTTATCCTGATTTTCCCACTGCAATACAGAATATTGGCCTTTTGACTTAGAGATCAAGAAGAGTGTCAGAATTAGGTCACCTACTCGATGATGGCCAAATAAAGTCATTTGAGCAGTTAAGACAGGAATTTAGTCTTCCCAGTAAAGATTTTTTTAAATTCCTGCAAATTCAACACTTTTTAGAGTTACAGTTAAAAGAAGGTAATATACAATTAAATTTAACTGAAATAGAAAAGCAGCTTTTTTCTTCATGTACGCTTAAAAAAAGATCTCTGAATTATATACATTGCTGTCTAATACTGGCCCTTCAATCTTTGATTATTTAAGGGCAATATGGAAAAATCATCTGAAGTCTAGTTTTAGTGATGAGGAGTGGCTATCTGCCTGCTCAAATATCTATCCTAAAAGTACTTCATTTTCAGTTCATGAGCAAAATTATAAATGTATTCAAAGGATTTATCTAACCCTAGTTCACCTCCATAGAATATTTCCCATTTGTTCCCAGCTATGTTTCAAATGTAAGTTAGACATTGGCACAGTGATGAATGTATTTTGGGACTGTGATTAAATTAAAATATACTGGAAACAGATTCACAAAAGGATTCACAATAATAACTGGAAAGACTTTTGCTTTGTCCCCAAAGGTATACCTTCTGAATTGTACATCGGAGCTGTGTCTTGATCATGACAAAGAATGTGTATTGAATTTTTGTATATATTTGGCCAAAAATTGTATATTGTTATTGTGGTCATTCGCGCAGACACCTTCAGTTAATGTGGCTGATTCAGGTAATCAGACTCCTACCACTGGAAAAACTGACTATTGATCTACATCAAAGATCTGAGGTGTTCTGGCGCATTTGGTCTTCCTTCTGGAGTATTTTCTGGATTTTCCTTGAAAATACTCAATAAGTATTTCTTTCTAAATTTGTTTTATTATCTTCTATTTTTATTTTTCCTTTGAAGAATCTGTATGCATTTGTCAGAATGTAACAAAAACTGCTGTACATATGGCTACGAGATAACAGTACCACTGTTCTGAAAAAAAAAATAAATAAATAAAAAAAAATTAAATAAAATGCATTAATTATTGGAGTCCATTTACACGTACCCACTGATCATTCTTGAGATGTTCAGCAGCTTAATTGTGGTAAATTCATTGATTGGACAGGAGCATACAGGTTACAGAAAAAAATTCTGCTGCTCTGAAAGTTCCAGTGAGCACAGCGGCCTCCATCATTCTATCATTATCAAGTGAAAGATGTTTGAAACCACCAGGACTCTTCCTAGAGCTGGCCGGCCATCTAAGCTGAGTGATGGGGGGAGAAGGGTCTTAGTCTGGGAGGTGATCAATAACCCAATGGTCACTCTGTCTGAGCTCCAGCGTTCTTCTGTGGAAAGAGGAGAACCTTACAGAAGGACAACCATCTCTGTGCAGCAATCCACCAATCAGGACTGTATGGTAGAGTGGCCAGACAGAAGCCACTTGAATTTGCCAAAAGGCATTTGAAGGACTCTCAGGCCATAAGAAACTAAATTCTCTGGTCTGATGAGACTAAAATTGAACTCTTTGGAGTGAATGCCAGGCATTTTGTTTGGAAAAAAACAGGCACTGCTCATCACCAGGCTAATAGCATCCCTACAGTGAAGCATGGTGATGGCAGCATCATGCTGTGGGGATGTTTTTCAGCAGCAGGAACTGGAAGACTAGTCAGAATCCCTGAATCCATTGAGAGATCTAAAAAAGTCTGTACACTGTCACTTCCCATCCAACCTGATAGAGTTTGAGATGTACTGCAAAGAGGAATGGACAAAAATTCCCAAAGACAGGTGTGCCGAGTTTGTGGCATCATATTCAAAAATAATTAAGGCTGTAATTGCTGCCAAAGGTGCATCAAAAGTATTGAGCAAAGGCTGTGAATATTTCTGTACATGTCATTTTTCAAGTTTTTTATTTTTGATAAGTTTGCAACAATTAAAAAAAAAAAAACCTTCACATTGTCATTATGGGGTGTTGTGTGTAGAATTGAGAAAATAAATAGATTTAATCTATTTTGGAATAAGGCTGTAACAAAAATGTTGAAAAAGTGAAGCTATGAATACTTTCTGCATGCACTGTATGTGTATTGCTTTAAATGCGATTTCAATATCTATGATTTTTATTCTTGGATGGACATTTTAAAAATGTAAAAAGGTAAGCTTGTTTGACTTTTACAGTTTGCTGATTGCGTCAAAAAAATAAATTTAAACTCATATTAAACTTCTCACAATCAGTGATGCAATTCATTCTCTATCAGACAAAAGTTTAGGATCAAGATTTTACATTTTATAATTTCAATGTTGAAAGCATTTTTTATACTAAGAGATTTTTTTCCAGAATTTGATGAAAGCAATGCTTCTAATATATATGTAAAGTTGGTTTTCAATCAATTGTGTCTTCATGAATGAAAATATCATTTTTCAAAGTAAAACATGACAATAATAAAAATCAGTTTAAATTGCAGTAATATTGAAGTTTCTCCTAATATTGAAGTTTTTTTTTTTGTTTGTTTAGACGAGATAACACTGAAGAGATATTGAGCTGAAGAGATGTCAAAAACCTCAATTATCTCTGAGTTTTCACTGATTGTGTTCATATTTCTACTGATATAAACAGCATATTTCAGTAATGCTAACAGAGTCATTATTTCAGTGATTTTGCTATTGTCCTATTTACCTTGAATAGATGTTTATTCTGCTTGAATAAAACATTTAGTTTGTTTTGTTCTCTGTGACATTTTAGACCTCAGACTAATGATCCATCAAATACACTAATTTGTGCTTTTAGTTTTTACTTTCACTTTAATATAGATTCAGTGAACTGATGTGATGTGAGAGAGTGAAGAGTGTGTCATTGTTCTCTACAGGTTAAGTCATTGTGATCTCACAGATGAAGGTTGTGCTGCTTTGGCTTCAGCTCTGAGTTCAAACCCTGAACACCTGAGAGATCTGGATCTGTCCTGGAATAATCTAGGAGATTCAGTGACTCTTCTCTCTGCTGTACTGGTGGATCCTCGCTGTAAACTGGAGAAACTGATGTAAGATCATATTTGACTCGCACATGAAACACAATATAAAGTGTATGTCCATTGCTGTTATTGAAATTTCAATGTAAATCTTGTTTGGACATTTTATAAAAAGCAATGTTTGCTTCACTTTCATTTGGAAATTAAATAAAATTAAAAATCAATAATAATTAATTATTAATTAATAATATTGAGCCTTAAAGAGACTTGTCAAAAATATGATCCATGATCCATCAGATATGTTAATTTATGCTTTTAGTTTGTACTTATAGTTTAATAATAGATTCACTGGACTGATGTGATGTGAGAGAGTAAAGAGTGTGTCGTTGTTCTCTACAGGTTGAGTTTTTGTGGTCTCACAGATGAAGGTTGTGCTGCTTTGGCTTCAGCTCTGATATCAAACCCTGAACACCTGAGAGATCTGGATCTGTCTGGGAATAAACTAGGAGATTCAGTGACTCTTCTCTCTGCTGTACTGGAGGATCCTCACTGTAAACTGGAGAAACTGGGGTAAGATCATATTTGATTTTTACACACATAAAACACAATATAAAGTAGATGTAAAGTGTTTTTGTTTTTTCTATAAGTGTGTTTAGTTGTGAATATCAACACTTATTAAGAGGAATGTTTGCTTGACTTTCTTTTACAATTTACTGATCACAAAGAATCAAATAATGTGAATAAAAAATCAGCTCTCACAAAAACAATAATAATACAAACAAAACTAGTCAAAAAGACTTTTCAATATTTAAAAAATTAATATATTAAAATATTATCCAAGTTCATTTGCTTTCTAAATATTTTTGTGAAATTTTCAACAAACTATTTGTTTAAGGGTTATTTAATAATTATTATTATTATTAAAACCAAAGTGGCCAGAGATCAGTTATCAAGATTAAAAGATTCATAAATTTTCAAATCATCTTCGGTCATTTAAGCGAAATATGAGAACAGACCCCTGATCTGATCATCATCCAGTCTGTCTGGAATGACATAAAGAAACAAAATAAACTGAGATGAACTCAATCCAGAAGAACATCTTGAAGATGCTTCAAAACCTGCAAAGCTCCAGCACTGGTCAAAGTTTTAGGCATTTGTGCAAAAATGCTGTAAAATGAAGATGATTTCAAAAATGATGCAGAAATCCATTTTATTTATCAATGAACTCATATTAAATAGATTAAGTCAACATTTGGTGTGATCACACTTTGCGTTTAAAACACTTGGTGCACTTGCTCATCGTCTTTAAGGGAGCTTTGCAAGTAGGTTTTATTAATGTATCTTCGAGATGTTGCCAAAATTCTTGTGGATTGAGTTTGTCTCAGTTTGTTCTGTTTCTTCATGTCACTCTAGACAGATGATGATCAGATCAGATCTGTGTGTGGAGCACTGACTAGACAATAGTCTCACTGTAATTTTACAATTAATGACAAAAAATAATGCTTGGAAATGTAAATTAAATGTATATTTCAAATAGAAATAACTGACCTTAAACCTTTTTCTTGGTGAAAATACTAGTGGCCTCAGACTTTTGCACACTACAGTATAAAAAAATTAGTCAAATTCAGTATTTTAGCTCAGATAAAAGCAGCCTTAAGGATCTGAAGAGACTCGAACATCTCAAACATTTCACTGATTGTGTACATATTGATAAAGATTCAATCCAGCAATGCTGATAGTGTAAACAGAGTCATTATTAAAATGATTTAACACAATATAAAGAAGTTTACTACATTCATTGCACAGACACAAATATATATTTATATTATATTCTGTAGTGAATAAAGTCCACCTCAGTCCAATATGTTCAGTTGTGCTTTTAGTTTCTACTTTCTCTTTAATAACTGATTCTGTGTTAAACTGATGTGATGTGAGAGAGTGAAGAGTGTGTCATTGTTCTCTACAGGTTGAGTTTTTGTGGTCTCACAGATGAAGGTTGTGCTGCTTTGGCTTCAGCTCTGAGATCAAACCCTGAACACCTGAGATATCTGAATCTGTCTGGGAATAAACTAGGAGATTCAGTGACTCTTCTCTATGCTGTTCTGGAGGATCGTCACTGTAAACTGGAGACACTGAGGTAAGATCATATTTGACTCTCACATGTGAAACAGTGTAAAGTATATGTGAAGTGTTGAGTCTCTTTCTGCAGCTTCTCTGCTCTTCAATATTTTAACATTTATTTTCTTTTTGTCTGTTTTTGTGAAATAAACAATGATAAAAACAAATAAATTGCTGATGAAGGAGGAATGGGATGGTCAGAATTTTTGAGTCATAAGCAGGGCTTTACAATAACACCCGCCAACCCGCCAAATGCGTGTAGATTTAGGTGGTGGCGGGAAAGACAGACACTCCCACTAGCCACTTTGGCTGGTTGAAAATAATTTTCCCAGATAATAATTCTTAAAAGCAGGATTTGACAATAAGGATGGTCCAATATGCATGCACAGGCGATCTTAGAATTGAGAAGCAACACGACTGACAAAATTGCGATCACAACTTCGTGCGAGCAAAGCAGGTGAATACCGAATGAGAAGATAATCACTTGTGCTAACAGCTGTGGTGATGTGCACGACTGTTTATAACACGTGCGCGCTCCCGTTTTCTTTCGTGAAGCAACTGTGTCTAGAAACACAACTGATGCGATCGGTTCTCTTTCAAATAGACTGGACAAAAAGGTGATGAACATGCACCCACAGTCTTGCTGCTTTCAAGATTTCCAGAGTTGGCCTATTGTAAGCAGCTCCAGTTGATTTCGCTTTAACCATTCTTTGAACAGATTATTTATGCGTCTAACATTAACCATGTGTGTGTGATCATCCTTTCATTATCACACAGTATGTTTTTTACCTGCTTTCTTTTGCATTAATATGGTTTAATTATAATTTTTTTTACAATAACATTGCTTTAATGGAACATTTACTCCTCATTTATGTGTATTAACTGGTGATCTGGGACCTTTAGCCAGTACAGATGACAGTGCATATGTTTTGTTAAATAAAAACTATAGTATACAGCTATATTTAGCTTGTTTTTACACATTTAAAATTTGTGGCTAAGAAATAAATAATTGTTTATTTATGGTGTGGTCAGAGATAAATTTGGTAAATCCTTCATTTTGGGCTCTGAAAATTATGTGAAATAAAAACTAATTGTAATATATGAAACCCTGACCCATTAGCTCATGATTATTGAAGCTCATACACGACACACAAAAAGGGAAATGATTGAGGAGGCATGTGGAGAAAACGCAAACTCTACATCAAGTAATTTTAGCGTGTCAAAGTCATATTCATGTGAATAAAATATATTTTCCCAACTATAAAATTGTGGCTAGTGATGTTGGAAAACTACTAGCCACTGTGGCTGGTGTTTAAAAAAGTTCATGTCAAGCCCTGGTCATAAGAGTGTTTTAATTCATCAGTGGGCATTTTATCCAACAGTCTGTGACTGAATAATACAGTAAATGTACAGGAGGATACAGGAGGTGTTGATGTCCAGATTGTGACTCAGACAGGCTGATTTGACTGATATCCATTATTGTTTCTGATGGAGAAACACAATCACCATGAGCTCTCATCTAGACATTTACAGTGGACAAGATTGACAAATCAACATTGCAGCCGGTTTGATTTGATTGTAATCTCTTCAGTATCAGACAGGCCTTTTGTGTTTCAGAGCTCAGAGACTGAAAGCTCTTTTAGTCAATCGTCATTGGCTGACTGCAATAATTAAACTGACAAATGATTTGTGTTTTATCATCACTAACATCATCAGACTAAAGTTGTTTACTTGTTTTATAAAGAATTCTTCATATTATTTTGATCATCTGAGAGTTGATTGTTGAAAACATTTAAAACATTTTATTCTGCTTAATATTTTAGTGGAAACTGCAATATATTTCACTTTCAGGATCCTTTGATGAATAGAAAGTTCAGAATAACTGCAACTGTTTGACTAAATCTTTCCAACAATGCAATATTTTACAGTCGTTTCTGATCCATTTATTGTGTCTTTAATTAATCTAAATATTATTTACATCTTTAATTGGCACTTTTGAATGCTGATTATATTTTCAATTTAAATTAATTATAGAAGATTTAACATGAGAAGTTTGTCAAAAAAATACACATCACACATATGAACAGATATTTATTCAGCCTGAATCAGATGTTTGATATTTTATGATCATGTTTTGTGTTTTGTGACATTTCAGACCTTTATATTTTAATAGAGTCAGTGTTAAACTGATGTGATGTGAGAGTGAAGAGTGTGTCGTTGTTCTCTACAGGTTGATTAATTGTGGTCTCACAGATGAAGGTTGTGCTGCTTTGGCTTCAGCTCTGAAATCAAACCCTGAACACCTGAGATATCTGTATCTGTCTGAGAATAAACTATCAAAATCCACAGTGAAACTGTTCTCTGATTTGAAGGACGACCCACTGAATAAACTGGAAACATTACACACTTGTGAGTATGTTTTTAAGCTGTAAAGTTGGCTGGAGATCAGTAACAGGCCTCATGTGTGTAAATGCAGAATATCGGCTAATAATTCATTAGTCTGTGCTTAAAACTGTGGAGTTTATAAACCCTTATTTATCTGCTTGAGTTGAGTTTTTGGATCTGCTGATGTGACGTGACAGCAGTAATGTCTCACAGTATGACTGTGTGTGCGTGCGTGTGTGTGTGTGTGTGTGTGTGTGTGTGTTTTATTGCAGGATTCTCAGTGTTTAGTTTGCTCAGGATCTGCTGATGGTGAATAAGGAGAAACGTCACAGACACACAATCAACACACACTGAAGACACACAGACTCACACTGACTGCACAACACTGGCTTGTTTTTATATGCAATAACCAGGAAAATGAAAATGACGTCATTATATTGTTCCAGATCGTCCTGATATTGATTATAGTGGAAAAGAGGATTGGAAAATGACAAAACTAAAACACTCCTATTGTAATCAGTAAGTCATGTTGACATTGTGTAAATATGAAATGTGTTGTGCAGCACAGACAGCTTTGTTCATTATGCTGGAACAGTAAGATTTTTTTATTATTACATTTTTGTCTTCAGTATAAACTTGAGAAATCAACAGAAGAGATGTTGTGACTGAAATGTGTCAGCAGAGGTCGACAAAGAGAACATAAATCATTTCACTGAGCATTTAATTCTCTACATTATTTTAAATTAATGATCTGTAATTATTTAAATGTAAATTGTTTAACATGCTTATCCAACATTAAGTGTCTGTTTAACAATTTCCTACTTTAAATAGTTTTTCTGAACAAGTATTTCTTCTGTGCATTTCTCTTGATGCCAAACATTTCTGAAGCCCACAACAAAAGCAGAGTATGTCAAGCCGTTTGACATTAAATCCATAACCAGTACTAGAATCTATTTTCATGTTACTAGTACTTATTTTTAGATACTAGTACCTTTTCCATTCAATAATAGTACTTATTCATTGCATACAATTGCCTATTCTTTAGATACTAGAGCTTTTAAAAATATATATACTAGTGCTCCTTCATTAGACGCTAGTTCTGTTTAGTAGATACTAGTACTCATTCATTAGATGGGTCATTATCAATATAAAGTGCCTTTGAGGGATCAGAGTTAAAAAAAAAACATTTACATATTTTTATTTAACCACATAGTTGTTTTTATAAATTATTTAGAATTTATTTATATGATCTAAATATTGGACAAAACATTATTTCCCAATATAATATGCAATCGTTGCACATTCTTTTCAAAATAAAACTCAACATCTAAATTATTTTGTCAAACTTTTAAACAGTATTAACTGGCCCTTATTGGTTAATTAAGAAACACACAAGATGTTTTGCGGGGGTTTTAAATAATTGGTTTATTTTCATAAAAGTTGAACATGATGGTGGAAAACAAGATGACAGGGTGGACATTGGCATGACAGAGTGGACAAAGGTTTTATTTAGTGAACTAAATATGGAGGAACATTTGAAAAACAACAGGTACAACAAGAAATATTAAAGGATTTATATTTAAGGGTTGTAAAAGTTTTCAAGAATTCAACTTGTTTTCACCAACTACTGCAAACCAGTGAGCCACCATGCCGCCTCTTCTGTTATCAGTTAGGGTTTATTAATATGCAAATTCATGGGAAAAGAAAAACAATTATTGTCCTTCAAATAAAAAAAAAAGTCAGAATAAAGTAAATAATTAGATTACAGATGTTCACTTATATGTACAAATATTTAGGGCTGTACTTTTATTTCTAGCAGTCAATGAGCTCCATAATATAGACTATAAAGGGATATCCTATAAATGGACTGAGACAGATATTGCCGAAAGGTTTGTATTGTCCACTCATGTATCGCATCAACTGGTGCAGTATGTGTGTGTATAAGTGTTGTAACATAAAAACATGAACTAATTAACAATATATTATTAAATAAATACATAAAGTGTCAATAACAACACATATGTCCACCTAGTCATGGAAGGATTTGTGACAGGGTGGACAATGACAGGGAGGACATTTTTTGCTAAAGATAGCATTTATTCAACGCACGCTGTACCTGCAGCTGGCAAAGTTTTTCCTCTGTTTAAACTCTTTGTACACAGTTTAAAAGCTGTATTTTAGATTTCAGAATTTTTTAAATATAAAGTTACTGTGTACATCAGGTGTTTGAACCTCCTCTGAAGAAAGGCAAAATGGGCACGGGGATGCCAGAGTACATCAGAGAGCCTCTTAAAGGGGCATTTACTACATCAGGACAGGGTGGACAGCAATTTCAACGACACAAGAAAAATAAATAATAATATTATGAAAACAAAATAAAAGTTATTAAGATTACTTATTTTGTCAAATAACTTGTTGAAGACAATAAGAATATTTAAAAAAATCTTTTTTAATTTAATTTACTTACTTTTTTAACTCGCTGAAGTTGGCTGAGCAGTGTAGGACATGGCAAAAGCACATCCATTCAATGAAAAGTTTGGCAAAATGGACGAAAACATATTTCAAAACACATATAATTCTACCTGCATGTGTGTAATGGTTTAACCAATCATATTAAAACATCTGAATTGCATTATTGATATTTAAATAGGACTGATTCAATATTGTGGGACATGATAATGATAATGATCAATGATAATGATCCTTATACAGAGACAGCTCAAAAACACCTGACTCGGGTTATACGGCAGCAGAAAGGCACACAGTCTGAATTATAAGACCCCCTTTGATTTATTTATTTATTTCATATTTCCCAAATGATGTCCAACAGAGCAAGGAAATTTTCACAGTATGTCTGATAATATTTTTTCTTCTGGAGAAAGTCCAATTTGTTTTATTTGACTAGAATAAAAGCAGTTTTTAACTTTTTAAACTAAAAACTTAATTTTTTTATGTTTCTGAAAACCATTTTAAGGACAAAATTATTAGCCCCTTTAAGCTATATATATTTTGATAGTCTACAGAACAAACCATCGTTATACAATAACTTGCCTAATTACCCTAACCTGCCTAGTTAACCTAATTAACCTAGTTAAGCCTTTAAATGTCACTTTAAGCTGTATAGAAATGTCTTGAAAAATATCTAGTCAAATATTATTTACTGTCATCATGGCAAAGATAAAATAAACCAGTTATTAGAAATGAGTTATTGAAACTATTAGAAATGTGCTGAAAAAATCTGCTCTCCGTTAAACAGAAATTAGGGAATAAATAAACAGGGGGGGGGGGGGGTTAATTCTGACTTCAACTGTATATGAAGAGTTTATTTCCAAAAAGATAACTCAGTTTTTCATAATTGTGAGATATCCTGTTTTATGTTGTTCATTGAAGAGTTTAATTACAAAAATTCCGATTTATTGAAATGACTGAAACTGGAGGTTTTATTTGTTTACAGAAATTGTGTTTTTACTCTGAGCACTGAAGAGTTCAATAGCAAAACATATTTTTGAAAAAATCTGTGATCAAATTATTGAATTGAACTCTTATTTCAGCCTTTATCATAAAAGACTGTTCAGATGTTGAATGATTATTGCACAGAGATGATGGCAATTTTACTTTAATTTTAAAATAAAAAATACAGTATTTTTATTTTGATGCATGTTGTCGCTGCTGTATTTTGTAGTTTATTTTGATGCACTTAAAGCTGAGGTATTTAGTATTTTATTTTAATACATTTTAATGTATTTTTGCCCATCCCTGCTATCACATGACTCTTATTGTGACAGAGGAAAAACAATCTAATGTATTACAGAAACAGGCTCACAGCATCCTGTGTGAATTTTAATTAGTAGATCAAATCTGTCATTCAGCATTTAATCTCAAAACTACTACGAGAACTGAAGCAGTTGCCCAGTTGTGAACTAAACATGATCTGCAGTCAGTGTTGGGTAAAAAGTAATATATTACAATTTTAAGCCTTTCTTACACTTTTTTTATTATTAAAAAAGAAAAGATAAACAAAAATCTGTGATCAAAATTATTTTTCAAAACTTTTGAGGCCAAAAGAATGAATTTACAGCCTGTTCGTGGTCATGTTATAAAGCTCTCAAGTTTAATTAGCTCTCAGATTAATACAAATTTCCCCGTTTATTTATTCGGTTTATTGTGTTTTGTCCTAATAAATCAATTATATTTTGTTGATATGTGCAAACACATGATGAAGGCTGTTGTCTTACCCCAATGCGATTAAACTCCTGAATAAACTGCAGAATCAGTGAGAGTCCGTCAAAGGTTATGGTAAGATGCTCTGTCGCGCGCAGAGGAGAGAGATACACACACAAACACACACACACACACACACACACACACACACACGAACCCGCGCGCGCGAGAGAGAGAGAGTTTAACCAAAAGCTTTCTTTGACATGTCTGGGTCAAATGACATGTTAATATCCATCCATCTGTTCTCCAAATCGCGTATCTCATATCGGGTCACAGAATATATCTGGAAGAAAAAACTTTTTTTTTTTTTTTTTTTACATTAAATGTATGTTTTTACGGTAAGATCTGTTTTAGAAAAGTATGTGGCCCCACCTGCTTCAGTCTTTTTGGATTTAAATACATTTGATTTCATCTGTGTTTGTACTCTTTTAGGACGATCACAGTTTGATCCCATTTGTTTATGTGTGTGTTTACATGATATGCCGCTTCAACGCCCTCTAGCGGCGAACTATTGCGATCTTCAAAACTTTTGAGAAACCTTTTGATTGTTGCAAGCGCTGATCAATATACTATGTTTGGCTAACTGAATTTTTGTTTTTATTTTTAAATGAAGGTGAATGCCTTACTATACTTTTTATTTCATAACAAGTACAATAGCATACAAAAAGTGAGCACTACAATGCTTACAATCTTTTTCACATCAAAGGACCAAATCACTAGAGAATTAAAAAAAAAAACGTATATATAAAATTACAGGGAATATATATATATAAATTACAAAAAAAATTCAAAGGAAAAGGATTCCAAAACTGCATACATCCTTATAACTTTTTATTTTTAAAGTATTTAGGGTTGCGATACAATGCTTAAGATTAACTTTAAACAAATAAATGTTAGGTTTATCATTGGACCATTCTGTTTGTGTACATGGTTCTTCTCATATATAATCATTAAATTAAGGAAAAAATTTTGCTCCAAAAGTTTTATTATTATTATTGTATATCAAAAAATATCTTTACAGGAAAACTCTAATTTTGTAAGTTTAAATATAAGATATTCAACATCAAACCAAAACATTTGGGTATATGTGCATTAAAAAAATAAATGTTTTATCGATTCCTCCCACTAATTCACCAAAAGTGCTCGCAGATTACAGCTCTAAAAACTCTAACTTTACTGTGTCTAACCGTATCTAACACTGTGCGTATTGTGACGTCACCCTTCCGGCGTCACAAGTACAAACAAAGTGAAAGCAGAAGTTCTCCGTCGAAAAAAAAAAAAAAAAAAAAAAAAAAAAAAGAAGTTCTCCGTCGAGTCGATCCGTTAATCTTCCTTATGGAGCCTTACAATAGTTCATAAGAACTGTTTAAAAACAAAACAGGAGTTTCCGTCTTTCATAGGGGTTAAATAATTATAACTCCATCAGCTTAGTCCTAATGCAGGTCTACGGTTTATAACAAGTTGATGAAGGTGAGTGAAACAGGAAACTGCGACTTCATACATGCTTTTTAGAAGAATTGCATTGCAGGCCCGTAGCCAGGAGGGGTTCGAGTGGTTCGAAAGACCGACCCCTCGTCGACAAAGGTCCAGGATTTGTTTCATAAATGATCTCATTGTCCTTTTTTACTGCTTTGCCATAATAAATTGTGAAAATAACCCCATTGAAGAAGGCTTTAAGACCTACACTGTAAAAATGGCCGTGACTTCAACGGTAAACAACTGTAAAAATGCTACTGCACAAATCTGTTACCTGGTTAACGGTAAGTTTCCTTAATATATTCGGCGAATAATCGTAAGTTGACTTTCCCATAATTCCCTGCATGGCACATGACATTAATATGGATGTTTTTAGTTGTTTCCCCATCATGTACATTAGATATTTATGTTACATCTAATGTTGATAATCAAAGTTATTTCATGACTTTATTTTATGCGTGTTACCATACTGGTGTTTAGTAGCTGTGTGAATGACACTGAGCACCTTCTATATGCTAATACTGTTTTCTGCTTGTGGGAAAAGGTAAATGTGATGAGCATTGGTTCATTATATAACATCCTCATCACTACCTGCATGTGGGTGTGCTAGCGTGTCTCACTGTGTAACAAAAGATGTGTAGATATTGATCATTCAAAATACAGACATATTACCTCTATAAATTAATAAAATACGGTAATTTACTGTAAAAATGAAAAATAACTTTTTTTTAAGGGTAAAGTACTGTCAACCACAGCTGCCGTTTTTTTACCGTAAATTTTACAGATTTATTTTTTACAGTGTAGCGGAATCCTGGCTGTGTGCTGGCCAGTTCATTTGCATAATAAAGACACTAGGCTAGTTTTAATTTAAAACTTCAACAGATTCACAGATTTAACAGATTTTTTCTAATGGTATATAACACTTTTGTATTTAATTATTCTCATATTTCTTTAATCTAAATGTTTAGGAAATGTTTTTGACACATCAAAAAGTGTGGTTATGATGACCATCAAACAAGCTAATCCAGCTAAAGATAGTGCTTAAAATGTCTCTAAAATTCAGGATTTAAATCTCTTAATTAAATAGAAAATGAGGTGAATAACTGCAAAAATGTCCACTTTTTAAGAAAAAAAGAATCACCTCTTTCACCAGGCTGGCTGCAGGCCTGAAATGTAAATATTATTTAAATGTTTTTAATATGTTTATAAAAGTTTAACATAAACCTTTTGTGTTAGTCCTGTGGATTATATTTAGACGAGATTCCTCGATATGTTTGTAAAATTGTTCATTTAAAAGCAATTTAACCTGGTTTATTTTCTGCTCATTGACTCTTGGTACTCGTACAGCCGATTTAACGTTTCTTTGTTCTTTCTGTCCAATCAGTGGTGCAGATCAGATCCTGTTTCATAATGGACGACACACAAATATCCAGAGATGAAAATGTTTCTCCAGGATGCAGGTACTTTGAGTTTATTACACAAGTAATGGAGAGAATAGAAAACTGCTGTGAAGTTAATGTACTGCACAAATGTAGACCTTTACAGTGTACTGTTTGATTAAAAAGTGCTATTTTAAAAATTTCTAATCTTATTTAAGTATAATATAAATAGTGATTAAGATGAATTGGTCTGTTATTTTCTGTTATAGTTCAGTTCATCAGAAGAGATCAGATCCAGAGCCCAGCTGTGTGTCTGTGAGGAGTGACCGGTCTATGGATCATCCATATAATTTTAGGAGTGAAAATACACAGATTGATCTCAGGTATAAGATTTCTACTGAAGATACTATACAAACTTTAATGCTACAGTGTTTTTGTTGTATATTATATTATCTCTATATTTTTATTGGTCTCTAATATTTTAATAGTGTTGCTCAGATGAGGATACTGTTTGTAAAATGCTCAGTTTACTTTTTTGTATGAACAGTCAAATGTTTTAATAAAAACTTCCAGGATTTTTCTTGTGAAGTTTTTGTTTCTTTCCTTGTCATCCTTGTCTAAATAGTTTCCTCTTTCCTGTGAGTAAATTATATTTTGTTGGTTAGTGTTAACATACAAGAGCTCGACCGGGATGTGTCTGCTACTTTTTAAACAGGATAATAAAGTTAAACTATCAAAATGTAGCAGTAATTAATTTGTTCTAGATATTTGTGGTACTTGATTTTAATAAAAATATAAAGGTTCTTAACAACAAATTTGAGGTCACCTTAAGTTTTAAAAAGTCTTAAGAATTGCACTTCTAGTACAATGTGAGAACAGTCAATTCTGTCTATAATTAAGCTTAAATTCTGTGAAAATGGCAATTTAAAGTAAACTATTTGTACTTTGTTTATTTGTATTTGATGTAGTTCATTTCCTCACAAGAGAACAAAAGCAGAGGCCAGCCGTGTGTCTATGAGGAGTGACACATTTATAAATCATCCAATAAATATGGGGAATGTAGAAGCACAGTGTAATATCAGGTAAAATCTTTCTTTAAAAGATTTAATTACAGAAATTAAAAAGGCAGCATGCTTATTAACTCGGGTTACTATGTGGTATTTTCCAGTCAAAATCTGCCGAACACATTTAGATCAGATCTGCTGAAGAAGTTTGAGCGTCTGTATGAGGGAACAGCGGCGCAGGGAAACCCAACACTCCTGAATAAAATCTACACAGAGCTCTACATCACAGAGAGTGAGAGTGGAGAGATCAGTCATGAGCATGAGGTGAGACGGATTGAGACACAATCCAGGAGATCAACAACAGAGGACACAGCGATCAAATGCAGAGACATCTTTACACCTTTACCTGGACAAGACAAAGCCATCAGAACTGTGCTGACGAAGGGAGTCGCTGGCATCGGAAAAACAGTCTCTGTGCAGAAGTTCATCCTGGACTGGGCTGAAGAGAAGGAGAATCAGGACGTCCAGCTCATATTTCCACTTCCTTTCAGAGAGATCAATCTGATGAAGGACAAAACACTCAGTCTGTCAGATCTTCTTCAGCTCTTTTTCCCTCAAACTAAAGAAATGGAAATATCCAGTGACAAATATAAAGTGCTGTTCATCTTTGATGGTCTGGACGAGTGTCGTCTGTCTCTGGATTTTAAAAGGAATAAGACTCTGAGGGATGTGACCAAAACATCATCAGTGGACGTGCTGCTGACCAACCTGATTGTGGGGAATCTGCTTCCCTCTGCTCTCATCTGGATCACCTCCAGACCAGCAGCAGCAGATCTCGTCCCCTCTGAGTGTGTCCATCGAGTGACAGAGGTACGAGGCTTTAATGACCCTCAGAAGGAGGAATACTTCAGCAAGAGAATCAGTGATCAGAGTCTGGCCAATACAATCATCTCACACCTGAAGTCCTCCAGGAGCCTCTACATCATGTGCCACATCCCAGTGTTCTGCTGGATCTCAGCCACTGTTCTGGAGAAGATGTTGAGTAAAGCAGAGACTGCAGAGATTCCCAAGACTCTCACTCAGATGTACACACACTTCCTGATCCTGCAGACCAACATCAAACATCAGAAGGACTATGAGGAGAAGCTGACAGATGAAGACATGATCCTCAAACTGGGGAAAGTGGCTTTTCAGCAGCTCATGGAAGGCAATATAATCTTCTATGAGGAAGACCTGAGAGAGTGTGGCATTGATGTGGCAGAAGCTTCAGTTTACTCAGGATTGTGCACTCAGATCTTCAGAGAGGAGTTTGGCTTGTATCAGGGGAAAGTCTTCAGCTTTGTTCATCTGAGCATTCAGGAGCATCTAGCGGCTCTTTATGTGCACCTCTCCTGTTTAAACAACAACAGAAATGAGTTTGATCAAATCAACAATCACAGTTTGTGGTCAAAAGTTAAATTCATGTTTAAATATGTTTCCTTATCTGAGCTGCATCAGAGAGCTGTAAATGAGGCCCTAGAAAATAAAAATGGACATCTGGATCTTTTCCTGCGGTTTCTACTGGGTCTGTCAGTGGAGTCTCATCACATTCTTCTATGTAGACGAATCAAATGGTTAAAAAGCAGCTTTGACATCATTGAGAAAACAGTCGAGTACATCAAGAAGAAGATCAACACCTTCAACTCTCCAGAGAAATTCCTCAATCTGTTTCACTGTCTGAATGAACTGGGTGATCATTCACTAGTGGAGGAAATACAGCAGTATCTGATCTCTGGAAGAATAAAGCAGTCCAAGCTCTCTTCATCTCAGTGGTCAGCTGTAGTGTTTGTGTTGTTGACATCAGAAAATAAACTGGATAAGTTTGATATTAATGAGTTTGTTGGAGAAAGCAACAAAGCTGAGAAACTAAAGATCCTTCAAAAGCTGCTGCCAGTGATCAAAGTTCAGTAAGTATCATTGAAAACAAACACATCACTGTTAAAGCTCATTAAATGTAAATCTCATAGAAAATTCATATCAGTTATTGAAGCAACATGGAAACCTAGTGGTAACACGATTAGACAAGTTTGAGATTTGAATTATTAGATTTAATAATTATATAAAAATCTTATAATATAAAAATTTTAATTATTATGCTTATTCGAGAAACATTGTTTACCTCTTCATTTTACCTCTGTCACCGTGCAGAAAGTGGGACACTTAAATTTACTTCACTATATTGCAATCAAGTTCTAGTCTAAACATAAATGATTACCAATCTTCAGTGCTTTGGTACAGATTTAAGCTTGATCTCGTTTTGAAGAAGACACTTTCAGATTGTAGCTAAAGTGAAAATACATTCAAAAAGTAAAATGAAACAGAAGTTACATGCCTTTACAGCAAGTTTATGAAAATGATAAAACAGTAAATGTTTATTTTAATATAATGCATAAAGTTTTTTTTTTTTTTTACAAAATTAGTTTTAATCTAAATTTGACAAAATGAAAGCTAAATATCTGAGCTAATTATATTCCAAATTTGAAGTTGATATCTTAAAAATGAGTTTTCAGTCTTTTGTTTGGTCGCAGTACCAGATATGACCACTAGTTTACATTCACTTTGCAGTGGTGACTGTATGAGGGTGCCTGCTATTTCTGTGTATTTTTCAAGAATATGAATCATATTTTTTTTATGACAATTTGTAAAGTAGTTTGGGCAGTTTGATGGTGTTTGATTTTGAATTTAGCCCCCAAAACCATGTAAAGATGTTTTACATGTGGATTGCTGAAGCAAAGCAATGCTCAGCAACAAAGTATTCAAAGCAGATTTTTTTTCTATTCTTCTGCTGTTTTTAGATGGGAATAATGATAAGGAGATGTTATTGGGAAATAACAAGCTGGACTGAAACTTTAAACAAACAGGTTACAAATGAGCTTAAACCCTTAATATGGATTTGTTAATGTGTGTGTGCTCTGTTTTGGATGTAAAATCTGACTTAAATCTGAAATGATAAGCACATATTTCAACATTAACAGTTTACCCAAGTTGGATCAACAGCTATGTTTCCATCCATCTGTTTTATGCACATTTTGGATATGTGCATAAAAAATTAGTTGATGAGTAAGATACACTTTTTATTTAACTTTTAAGCTACGATGGAAACACTTTACCTGAACAAATTCCAGCATGTGCATTAAAAAATTCATGTGATTTTGTTGCAAAAGATCATGTGATGATAAAGATGTGTGAATGGACAAACCAGCAGGCTGAGCATCTAAGCATCTGAAGTGCTGTTTTAGTCATAGCTCTGCTCTTAGCCACAACAGAGAACAAGTACCAATCATCCACAAGTCAGATTTTAAATCACAACAGTTCAACAGTTCTCAACAGATTTAATTTAACTGAAGCCCAGCTAGTGCTCTGGTGAAAGGTTTCTCTCTAGCTCCTTCCTCAACATCCAAGTGTTTGGCCTGTGTTTTTATCCCTTCTGACGTCTCCATGGTAAGTGAACACAGCTGTGGGACGCAACCAGCAACCTGCTTGAGACTCAGGAGGGGAGCAGTCAAGGCAACAAAAGAAGAACAGGGATAAAGACATTTGACACAATATAAACAAAATAGCTTTAAACAATACGTCTCTAAACATAACAAGAGTGTCTGTGTCTCACGCCTTCAAATGCACCACTTATTCATTGCGTGTCAACACAGAAAAGATTCACGCAGCTTCTGCAGCAATTCTGCTACTGCAGCAAATTCATTTTCCTGTTAGTTGATGTTTTACTATTAATATTTGGCACCAGTTAATCACAAACTTTGTTCTTGTTGACTTGTTGGATGGAAAAGTTGGTTTATTTATCTTTGATGTGATATTCTAGTTTTATACATAAAATTAATTTGCTTTTTTGGATTGAAAGTGTCAGTTGGACAAAGCAAAAGTTGTAAAGTGCAACACCAAAATCAATACATATCACAAAAGCAAGACCAATAATAACATTAGCATTAGTTGAGAAGTGTTACATGTCGTAAATATATTGGGTGCCATTTGTCAAATTTTATTCTTGCTAATTAAAGTCACTGATCAAGTTTACCAAAATACTTTTTTCATGGTGGCAATGGACAAAGTATTAAATATTTGAGTATTGTGTAGAGCTGCATATATTGGTGGCTGTATCGCTCTCAGTGGTTATTCAGCCATAGCAGAATCAGTGGATTGGTGGTTAATTAATGTTACAGGGATCATACGGTCATAGAAACCTGGAAAAGTCATGGAGTTTTGACTTGGCATTTTCCAGCCCTGGAAAAGTTTTGAAAAAACAGAAAAATCCACAGAGTTTTGGAAAGACATGGAAATTAGTTTAACAAATATCTGTATACCTGAATTAGATTAAATTTGACATTACAGTATTTTGTATTTTCTGTGATATATATTGCGGTGAGAATACAATTTCACCAGATGTTTCAACAAGTTTATTTGGATTGATTGGTGGGATTTTGTATGGGAGTGAATCTCGAATAATATATATCAAATAAATTACAAGCATTGATAAATAAAATATAGCAAAGATAAAAGTAAATACAGTTTACAGGGATTCACTATTCAGGTACAGATATTGAATAATCAACACTGCATAGTTTTATTGTGTTTTATTTAATATTTATTAAAGTTACAAAAAGTGTCTTGTGGTCGGATGTTTTAAAACAGTGCTCAACCCTGTTCCTGGAGATCGACCTTCCTGTAAAGTTCAGCTCCAACCCTGATCAAACACACCTGAACCAATTAATTAGGACCTGAACAGCACTTGATAATTACAGGCCTTGCAATTTTGAAATTATTGCTTTTTTTTGCTTTGAGTATAGACTATTCAGTTCATTAGAGCAGTTCAAACTTTTATGAAGTTTTTAAAATAAAATCAGTTTTTTACTGTATAAAAATATAACATTTTGATATATTTATTTTATATATATATATATGTGTGTGTGTGTGTGTGTGTGTGTGTGTGTGTGTGTGTGTGTGTGTGTGTGTGTCACACACATAGTTTGAGAGTTTGTTAGCATTTCTTTGTGTTTTTAATTGCTCTTATCACTCTCTCCTATCACAGCATGAGAGTCCATGACCACACGTTTCCTGAGTAATGTTGATGGCTTGGTCATAAGGGACTTTCCCTCTCTCTTTTTCCCTCTTTTTTATTTGCCCATGTTGTCTTATTATTTTATTATTTCTGTTGTTTTATTATTATTATTCTGGGTGTTTAACAAGTATGTCTTCATCTCTCTACAGTTTGAGGGATTGTGGCCTCAGTGATGAAGATAGTGATGCTCTGACTTCAGTTCTGAGATCAAACCCTGAACACTTGAGGGATCTGTATTTGTCGAATAAAAAACTAAAAGATTCAGGCATGAAGCTCCTCTCTGCTGTACTGGAGGATCCTCACTGTAAACTGAAGACACTGTGGTAAGATCATCATCATACATATTAGGACAACAGATTAAAATAGAATCAGTGAACACATTCAGATAGTTCTCATAAATGACAGTGAAGCATAAACGAGGTGTGTGATGGTTTTATATATTTATATATCGTAGTACATAAATGATTTAAGGAAAAATGTATATAAACTTAAGTTTTATTTAAAGTTTAATAACTTTGTTGAATTGACAAAGAGCCTCGACATTGAAATATAATAAATCAGTACACAATAAAATATAGAAATTAAACAGAAATACAAGAATAAAAACATTTATAAACTTTTTTCTTTTATGGGTTGGAATAATAATCTATATTAAAAGAAAAAATATGTCAGAGTAAATAAATCTTAGAAAATTAATTTTAAGTTTTTAAGTCAAATGCAAAAATACTTCAAGTAAACAAGTTTTTTGAATCGGCTGCCAGGAACCTGTTTTCACCCTAAGACTTAAAAAAATTTTAAAGTAGTATTTTTTATTATAATTTTCCCAAAACAAACAAACAAAAACATTAGTACAAGTACCGAAATAAGAAAAAAAATTATTTCTATCACTTTGGAGTTAAACATGAAAGTTTTTCACTCTGATCCTCACTCATACACATACAGTGCATCCAGAAACTATTCAGCGCTTCACTTTTTCCTCTTTTTTTGTTGCAGCCTTATTTCAAAATGGATTAAATTCATTTATTTTCTCAAAATTCTACACACAATACCCCACAATGACAATGTGAAAAAAGATTTTAGAAATTTTATTCAAAAATTTAGGATACAAAATTATTCACAGCCTTTGCTGAAAACCCCACCAAAAAGCCCCCCCCCCAGTCAGTTAATAGTCAGTTAATACTAAAAAAAAGGCCAAAAGAAAATTAGCAATATTGGAAAAAAAGAAGTCCTCTTGGCTTTCCCTGTCAAATATATATATTTCCCTGTTCTATGTATATATCCATATTACCGAAAAAATCTGTCCTGCATGATCAGTTATGAGGCAGTTTAATTTAGTTTACAAGGAGCAGTTCACAAATGCCCCAGTAAAAAAAAGCATCCAAAATAAACTTTCAAAAATTAGATAAAGCTCCCTTAATAGAGATCACCCAGGTGATTTGCGAGAGAAATAGTACATCCTTTGGAAAAAAATATTACAGTACCTGTGTTCACCACACATTGACCACTGTCTGGTGGCTGCAGCTTACAGGGGAGAAAAGCAACCTCAAAAGGCAAAAGGAAAAGAAAGACACTAAAACATCCGTCACAAAATAAAATGTGAAATTATTGTAATAAAAGAATTATACAGCAGGAGAGCAACCATCACTCACTTCTCAGAGCTTACCGGAACTGAACAGAGCTCCTGCACATGCGCGCACGTGGTAAAACAAAATAAAAAAAAAGCAATTTTATTGAACATGACATTTGTATACAATGCATATCAAACATTAAGCGGTCATTACAAAGCTCGCTCCATTTTTATGCTCACAGTAGTGCATAATTTTTATAGTTACCCACACAAACAGTTTCGTCCTAATTAGTTCCACTAAATAAAAGTGGGATGAGATTTTAAAACACACGACATACGCTAATGTATATATGTGTATTGCTTTAACTGAAATTTCAATGTCTATGTTTTTTTTATTCTTGTTTGGACATTTAATGAAACAAAGTAGAAAGAATGTTCACTTGGCTTTCTTTGGAATTTGCTGACTGAATAGATCAAATAATTAGATTTTTTTCTTTATTAATAAACTCACCTTCACAATCAGTCAGATATAAGGATCATGAAGATTTTCCAATCTTTTTTCATGAAAGAAAACATTTTGAAAAGAAAAAAAACTACATGTTTAAATTGCAAATATATTTTACAATATTGAAGTTTTGTTTATCTCAAAGTTTTCACTGATTGTGTGCTTATTATAACTTGTAGCACAGCACATTTCAGCAATGTTAACAGTGTGAACAGTGTCATTATTTAACTGTTTTGCTACTATCTTATTTTTTAGACTGAATAGATGTTTATCCTGCTTGAATAAAACTTTCTACTTATGATCATATTTTGTTCTCTGTGACATTTTAGACCTCAGACTAATGATCCATCCGATGTGTTCTTTTGTGCTTTTAGTTTAGTAGTTTAAAGTAGTTACACTTTAATAATATATTCAGTGAACTGAACTGATCTGATGTGATGTGATGTGTTGTGATGTGAGAGAGTGAAGAGTGTGTCATTGTTCTCTACAGGTTGAGTAATTGTGGTCTCACAGATGAAGGTTGTGCTGCTTTGGCTTCAGCTCTGAGATCAAACCATGAACACCTGAGAGAACTGGATCTGTCTGAGAATAATCTAGGAGATTCAGTGACTCTTCTCTCTGCTGTACTGGAGGATCCTCGCTGTAAACTGGAGACACTGGAGTAAGATCATATTTGACTCTCACATGTGAAACAGTGTAAAGGGTTTTTGTTTTTGCTCCATAAGTGTGTTTTAGTTGTAAAGGTCAAAAGCAGGATTTGCTGGTCACAAAGAACGTGAATAAAAAAAAATAGATCTTACAAATACAATTATATTACACATACAATACCAGTCAAAAAGACATTTCAACATTTAAAACATGTATATAATAATTAAAATATCAAAGTTCATTTGTTTTCTAAATAATTGTGAATTTTTACTACATTTTTAGTTTAGGGATTATGTAGGAACAATATAAACACAATATATACAGTAGTGTGCAAAAGTCTGAAGCCATTAGTGTTTTCACCAAGAAAAAGGTTTAAATAAATTATTTTTTATATTATTCAGTAGCATGACAGTTTAAAATATAAATGTACATTATTTCAAGCATTATTTCTGCCATTAATTGTAATTATTGAGTGAGATTATTTTCTGCACAAGGAGTTTGAGAATGGCCAGTGCTCCTCACAGAGATCTGTCTGCAATGACATGAAGAAACAAAACAAAATGAGACAAACTCAATCCAGAAGAACTCTGGCAACATCCCGAAGTTTGTTCGGTTTCTTCATGTCACTCCAGACAGATGATGATCAGATCTGATCTCTGTGTGGAGCACTGACTGTTGGCGAACAATAATCTCACTCTAGACTTATTATTAATGACAGAAATAATGTTTGGAAATGTAAATTAATATTTCAATCAGACATCCTACAGAAAATACAGAAATATCTGACTTTAAACCTTTTTTAGTGAGAATACTGGTAACCTAAGACTTTTGCACAGTAGGCCTACTGTACAGAAAAAAACTTGGTCAATTTCAGAATTTTGCTCAGATAAGCAGTCTTGAGGAGCTGAAGAGACTTCTTTTAAAAACAAAACAGAAAACATCATAATTATCTCAAACATTTCACTAATAGTGTACATATTGCTACAAATCAAATTCAGCAATGCTAATAGTGTAAATCAATGGTCTCAAACTCAATTTCTTAAGGGCCTCAGCTCTGCATAATTTAGCTCAAACTACCTGCAACTCACATCTGCTTAATAGTCTGTAGTAGCATTGAGCACCTCGATTAGTTGGATCAGCTGTGTTTGATTAGGGCTGGAGCAAAACTGTGCAGAGCTGTGGCTCTCCAGCAATGGAGTTTGAGAACTTTGGTGTAAACAGTGTCATTATTAAAATAATGAAATGTGTCATTGTTCTCTACAGGTTGAGTTATTGTGGTCTCACAGATAAAGGTTGTGCTGCTTTGGCTTCAGGTCTGAGATCAAACCCTGAACACCTGAGAGAACTGAATCTGTCTGGGAATAATCTAGGAGATTCAGTGACTCTTCTCTCTGCTGTACTGGAGGATCCTCGCTGTAAACTGGAGAAACTGTGGTAAGATCATATTTGACTCTCACATGTGAAACAGTGTGAATTTCTTTAATTGAAATGTTTTTGGTTGGACATTTTATAAGAAGGAAGTGGAAGGAATGTTCAGACAACAGCAGACATTAACTGATTCAATTCAAGGTCATACATCATCTACACTACACTAAAGTCAAGCTACATAAAATCTTTCCTTCTGTCTCACCAATGTGTGATGATGCAAGACAGCAGAAGACACGGTTGCTCACGCCTTTTGGCTCTGTGTCTTAATAGATTTTCGACAAACGTATTTGACTAGTACTCAAAGGCTTATTGCAAAACTTTTCTACCAGATGCTGAACTTGCCATCTTTGACTTCTCACAAAATACATCTTCTCTCCCTCAAACAATGCAGGAGTCTTTAATGCAAGGCAAAGTGGTGGCTAAAGACTAGTCCTTAACAATTGGAAATCACCTTTGCCCCCTCATTCCAGAACTGAATTTTTGATGTGAGATCAGATTATTCAGCAGTTTTTTAAGGACTAGCTTTATAAGAAAAGTTTTGGCTACTGGGGTCAATTTCTTGATTTATTTGACAAATCTATATCTCAGAAGTAACCTAGTGACCCCTCTGAGGTTTAAAGTTATAAACCCTCTCTAGTTGATTATATGTTTTATGACTGTAATGTATTTTTTGTTTGTTTTGTCTCTTTTCTTTTTTTGTTTTCTTTATATTGTCTTTTGTATGTCTACAGTTCAAGCCAGTGTTTGTTCTTGTTCTGTGTTTGTGTATATATAAAAAAACTAAAATAAAGTAAAAAAAAAATAGTAGAAGGGATGTTTGTTTGGCTTTCTTTTGCAATTTGCTGATTGCGTAAAATCAAACTATTTTTTTTTTATATAAACAACTCATTCACAATCAGTCAAATATAAGGATCATGAAGATTTTCCCCATTTTATTTTTATTTTTTATTAATGTCAATGTTTTTTTAAACAAATATATAAATATTTTTACTTTTCAGGATTTTTGATGAATAAAGCTCAATATCACAGGATTTATTTAAAAAAACAAAATATAATATTTATATATTACAGTTGGTTTTAATCAATAAATGTCTTCATGAATAAAAATTTTGAAAAAGAAAATAATGTTTAAATTGTAAAAATATTTCATGATATTGAAGTTTTGTTTATCTCAAAGTTTTCACTGATTGTGTGCATATTGCTACTGATAGCACAGCACAATTCAGCAATGTTAACAGTGAGAACAGCATCATTATTTAACTGTTTTGCCATTATCTTATCATTTACACTGAATAGATGTTTTATTTAAGCAGGATAAACTTTCTACTTATGTTTTGTTCTCTGTGACATTTTAGACCTCAGACTAATGATCCATCAAATGTTAATTTATGCGTTACATAAACTTTAATAATAGATTCACTGAACTGATGTGATGTGAGAGAGTGAAGAGTGTGTCATTGTTCTCTACAGGTTGAGTTATTGTGGTCTCACAGATGAAGGTTGTGCTGCTTTGGCTTCAGCTCTGAGATCAAACCCTGAACACCTGAGAGAACTGAATCTGTCTAGGAATAAACTAGGAGATTCAGTGACTCTTCTCTCTGCTGTACTGGAGGATCCTCACTGTAAACTGGAGAAACTGTGGTAAGATCATATTTGACTCGCATGTGAAACACAATATAAAGTAAAGTGCATCCAGAAAGTATTCATAGCGCTTCACTTTTTCCACATTTATGTTTTAGCCTTATTGCAAAATATATTAAATTAATTTATTTTCTCAATTCTACACACAATACCCCATAATGACAATGTGAAAAGATTTTTTGAAAGTGATGGAAGTTTATTTTTCAATAAAAGCTCTAAATTGAGCTCAGGTACATTCTGTTTCCAATGACTCGCAAAACGCGGCAAAAAGTCCTACATGACTGTAATAGTTTGATTAAGGTGTTTACATGTCGCTACTTCAATAATGCGACTAAAATCAGCATACTCCACATGTATCTTAATTTGATTTCTCTTTAATTCGACTGACCTCAATCTGATAAAAAAAAATTAAAAAGCTTACTAATCAGAGTATTGTCTTAATCGCATTAAAGGGACGGTCACGTGGCCCGGAGTGAAATAGCTGCTTGAATTCTTTGCTCCGCTCGACTTAGTAATTAAATCACAAACTTTTCCTCCAAATTCTTCTTTCATTATGTTGAACAGTCTATTAATATGTCAGACACACCATCTGACAAGGATTTTCCTATTTTCATTTCAACGCGTTCTACTTTTATCCTATCTTCAAGATATGATACCAAAATGGTTAGACCTGCCGGTGGGTTCCCCTGCTCTAGACATTGAAAGGGTCCATTGAACTCTCACTTTTGCATCTGCCAACCTGAACACAGCTCCGGGAAGCATCTTATTTCAATTTCTGAGGTTCCCTGATAAAGAAGCAATCTTTAAAAATGCCATGAAGAAGACGATCACTCATAATGGCTCAGAGCTTTGATTCTCCTCTGATCTGTCAGCTGGCCTGCTGCAGAAGTGCCGTGAGTTCGGGACTGTGGGGAAAGCCTTTGCCGCCTGTGGTTTATATAGTGGATTTGCTTATCCAGGCATGCTCAGATGTCTACATAATGGAAAGATTCGCCTGTTTAATGACAGGACAGCTAAATTTATTTTCTGGCTGAAAAATATACTCTGACTTTCGGTGGAACATTCTAGTGATTCCAATGGACAAGTAACGTTATGTAGTATAATTTCTAAGGTAACGTAATATTTAGAATCAGGGCTTTACATTAACACCCGCCAAATGCGGGTAGATTTCAGCTTTGGCGGGTTAGACAGTCACTCCCACTAGCCACTTTGGCTGTATGAAAATAATTTTTAAATTGTAGTTTTCCTAAAAGCAGGGTTCGACAATATAAGGTTAACCCAATATGTGTGCAAATGCGATCTTACAATCGAGAAGTAGAACAATTGTGATCACGCGAGCAGAAGAAAGCAAGTGAATAGCGAATGAGAGGATGATCATCACTCACGCTAACAGCTGATGTGATACGCGCGACTTCTTTAAACGCATGCGCGCTCCCATTTCTTTTCGTGAGGCAACCGTGTCTCGAACAGGGCCTGGAAACGCAACTATGATCGGTTCTCTTACAAACAGACTAGACAAAAAGTGATGAACATGCACTCACAGTCCTGCTGCTTTCAAGCGCTCAAAATGTGTCTTTTTGTAAGCAGCACCAGTTGCTTTCACTTTAAACAGATTATTAATTGGCCTAAAGTTAACCTTGCATGTGATCATTCTTTCATTATCACACACGGTGTGGTTTTTCACCTGATTTCATTTGCCTATGGTTTTATTTGCGTTTATGTTTGTTAAAATGGTTTAATGATCTTTTTTTTTTTTTTTTTTTACGACATTGCTTTAATGGCAGATTAACTCTCCATTTATGTGCAGTTAACTGGTGATCTGAGAGATCTTTAGCCAGGACAGATAATGTGCATATTTTTGATATATGACAATAGTTGTTTTTTAAATGTGAGTTGCTTTTCTTTTTTTTTTTTTTAGAAATTTTTTTTAAAATAAAAAGTATAGTATACAGCTATATTTTGATTGTTTTGACATTTAAAATTCATGGCTAAGAAATAATTATTGTTTAGTGTGGTTATAGAGATAAATTTGATAAATCCTTATCTTTGAGCTCTGAAAAGTCATGTGAAATAAAAACTAATTGCAATATAACTCTATGAAACCACAACCCATTTGCTCATGCTCATTAAACAATGTCATACTCGACACACAGAAAGTGAAATGAATGAGGACGCATGTGTACATAACACAAAATTTAAATCAAGTAATTTTAGCATGTCAAAGTCAAATTTATGCATATAAAATATATTTTCCCAACAACAAAATTATGGCTAGTGAAAATGCAGAGTGGCTAGTAACATTGAAAAACTACTAGCCACAGTGGCCGGTGATTAAAAAAGTGAATGTAAAGCCCTGTTTAGAATGCTGCCGCCAGCCACAGAGGGTTATAATGTTTAATATATTTTGTTTGTGGTTGCTATACGGTATAAGTCACTGGTCATGTTTATTTTAATTGTTTTATTTATTTATATTTTCTCCTCTAGTGTCACACATTAGTGATAATTATTTATATTAGAGATGACAGTGGAGCGGATTATGACAGAGCTATAATCTCATTTCTGGCGTATGGTTTAGTGGCCAGACGGAAGCCCCTTAAATTTGCCAAAAGGCATTTGAAGGACTCTCAGACCATAAGAAACTAAATTCTCTGGTCTGATGAGACTAAAATTGAACTCTTTGGAGTGAATGCCAGGCGTTATGTTTGGAGAAAACCAGGCACTGCTCATCACCAGGCTAATACCATCCCTACAGTGAAGCATGGTGATGGCAGCATCATGCTGTGGGGATGATTTTCAGCAGCAGGAACTGGAAGACTAGTCAGAATCCCTGAATCCCTTGAGAGATGTAAAAAAAGGTTGTACACTGTCACTTCCCATCCAACCTGATAGAGTTTGAGAGTTACTGCAAAGAGGAATGGACAAAAATTCCCAAAGACAGGTGTGCCGAGCTTGTGGCATCATATTAAAAACAAGAATTAAGGCTGTAATTGCTGCCAAAGGTGCATCAAAAGTATTGAGCAAAGGCTGTGAATATTTCTGTACATGTCATTTTTCAGGTTTTTTATTCTTGATAAGTTTGCAACAATTAAAAAAAAAAAACCTTCACATTGTCATTATGGAGTATTGTGTGTAGAATTGAGAAAATAAATAGATTTAATCTATTTTGGAATAAGGCTGTAACAATGTAAAAATGACGAAAAAGTGAAGCGCTATGAATACTTTCTGGATGCACTGTATGTGTATTGCTTTAAATGCAATTTCAATATCTATGGTTTTATTCTTGGTTGGACATTTTAAAAATGTAAAAAGGTAAGCTTGTTTGACTTTTACAATTAGCTGATTGTGTCAAAAAAAAAAGAAAAATTTAACTCGTATTAAACTTCTCACAATCAGTGATGCAATTCATTCTCTATCAGACAAAAGTTTAGGATCAAGATTTTTTGATCTTACATTTTAAAATGTCAATGTTGAAAGCATTTTTTTATACTAAAAGATTTTTTTTCCAGAATTTGATGAAAGAAATGCTACTAATATATATGTAAAGTTGGTTTTCAATCAATTGTGTCTTCATGTATGAAAATTTAATTTTTCAAAGTAAAGTTAATTTTACAATAATAAAAATCAGTTTAAATTGCAGTAATATTAAAGTTTCTCCTAATATTAAAGTTTTTTTTTATTCGAGATAACACTGAAGAGATATTGAGCTGAAGAGATGTCAAAAACCTCAATTATCTCAAATTTTTCATTGATTGTGTTCATATTTCTACTGATATAAACAGCACATTTCAGTAATGCTAACAGAGTCATTATTTCAGTGATTTTGCTATTGTCCTATTTACCCTGAACAGATGTTTATTCTGCTTGAATAAAACATTTAGTTTGTTTTGTTCTCTGTGACATTTTAGACCTCAGACTAATAATCCATCAAATACACTCATTTGTGCTTTTAGTTTTTACTTTCTCTTTAATAATAGATTCAGAGAACTGATGTGATGTGAGAGAGTGAAGAGTGTGTCATTGTTCTCTACAGGTTGTATAATTGTGGTCTCACAGATGAAGGTTGTGCTGCTTTGGCTTCAGCTCTGAGATCAAACCCTGAACACCTGAGAGAACTGAATCTGTCTGAGAATAAACTAGGAGATTCAGTGACTCTTCTCTCTGCTGTACTGGAGGATCCTCAATGTAAACTGGAAACACTGTGGTAAGATCACATTTGATTTTTACACACTTAAAACACAATATAAAGCAGATGTAAATTGTTTTTGTTTTTTCTATAAGTGTGTTTAGTTGTAAATATCAACACTAATTAAGAGAAATGTTTGCTTGACTTTCTTTTACAATTTACTGATCACAAAGAATCAAATAAAGTGAATAAAAAAATCAGCTCTCACAAAAACAATAATAATACAAACTAGTCAAAAAGACTTTTCAATATTTAAAAAATGAATATATTAAAATATTATCCAAGTTCATTTGCTTTGTAAATATGTTTGTGAAATTTTCAACAAACGTTTTTTTAAGAGTTATTTAATTATTATTATTATTAAAACCAAAGTAGTCAGAGATCAGTTATCAAGATTAAAAGATTCATAAATTTTCAAATCCTCTTCGGTCATTTAAGCGAAATATGAGAACAGACCCCTGATCTGATCATCATCCAGTCTGTCTGGAATGACATGAAGAAACAAAATAAACTGAGATGAACTCAATCCAGAAGAACATCTTGAAGATGCTTCAAAACCTGCAAAGCTCCAGCACTGGTCAAAGTTTTAGGCATTTGTGCAAAAATGCTGTAAAATGAAGATAATTTCAAAAATGATGCAGAAATACATTTTATTTATCAATGATCTCATATTAACTAGATTTAGTCAACATTTTGTGGGATCACACTTTGCGTTTAAAACACTTGGTGCACTTGCCCATTGTCTTTAAGGGAGCTTTGCAAGTAGGTTTTATTAATGTATCTTCGAGATTTGGCCAAAATTCTTGTGGATTGAGTTTGTCTCAGTTTGTTCTGTTTCTTCATGTCACTCTAGACAGATGATGATCAGATCAGATCTGTGTGTGGAGCTCTGACTGTAGACAATAGTCTCACTCTAATATTACAATTAATGACAAAAAATAATGCTTGGAAATGTAAATTAAATGTATATTTCAAATAGAAATAACTGACTTTAAACCTTTTTCTTGGTGAAAATACTAGTGGCCTCAGACTTTTGCACACTACAGTATAAAAAAATTAGTCAAATTCAGTATTTTAGCTCAGATAAAAGCAGCCTTAAGGAGCTGAAGAGACTCGAACATCTCAAACATTTCACTGATAGTGTACATATTGATAAAGATTCAATTCAGTAATGCTCAGAGTCATTATTAAAATGATTTAACACAATATAAAGAAGTTTACTACATTCATTGCACAGACACAAATATATATTTATATTATAATCTGTAGTGAATAAAGTCCACCTCAGTCCAATATGTTCATTTGTGCTTTTAGTTTCTACTTTCTCTTTAATAACTGATTCTCTGTTAAACTGATGTGATGTGAGAGAGTGAAGAGTGTGTCATTGTTCTCTACAGGTTGAGTAATTGTGGTCTCACAGATGAAGGTTGTGCTGCTTTGGCTTCAGCTCTGAGATCAAACCCTGAACACCTGAGATATCTGAATCTGTCTGGGAATAATCTAGGAGATTCAGTGACTCTTCTCTCTGCTGTACTGAAGGATCCTCGCTGTAAACTGGAGAAACTGTGGTAAGATCATATTTAACTCTCACATGTGAAACAGTGTAAAGTATCTGTGAAGTGTTGAGTCTCTTTTTGCAGCTTCTCTGCTCTTCATTATTTCAACATTTATTTTCTTTTTGTCTGTTTTTATGAAATAAACGATGATAAAAACACATAAATTGCTGATGAAGGAGGAATGAGATGGTCAGATTATTTGAGTCATAAGCAGGGCTTTACATTGACACCCGCCAACCCGCCAAATGCGTGTAGATTTCGGCGGTGGCGGGAAAGACAAACACTCCCACTAGCCACTTTGGCTAATTGAAAATAATTTTCCCAGATAAGAATTCTTAAAAGCAGGATTTGACAATAAGGATGGTCCAATATGCATGCACAGGCGATCTTAGAATTGAGAAGCAACACGACTGACAAAATTGCGATCACAACTTCTTGCGAGCAAAGCAGGTGAATACCGAATGAGAAGATAGTCACTCGTGCTAACAGCTGAGGTGATGTGCACGACTGTTTATAACACGTGCGCACTTCCGTTTCCTTTCGTGAAGCAACTGTGTCTAGAAACACAACTGATGCGATCGGTTCTCTTTCAAATAGACTGGACAAAAAGGTGATGAACATGCACCCACAGTCTTGCTGCTTTCAAGATCTCCAGAGTTGACCTATTGTAAGCAGCGCCAGTTGCTTTTGCTTTAACCATTCTTTGAACAGATTATTTATGCGTCTAAAATTAACCATGTGTGTGTGATCATCCTTTCATTATCACACAGTATGTTTTTTACCTGCTTTCATTTGCAATCATATGGTTTAATTATCATTTTTTTACAATAACATTGCTTTAATGGAACATTAACTCCTCATTTATGTGTATTAACTGGTGATCTGGGACCTTTAGCCAGGACATATGACTGTGCATATGTTTTGTTAAATAAAAACTACAGTATTCAGCTATATTTTGCTTGTTTTGACACATTTAAACATTGTGGCTAAGAAATAAATAACTGTTTATGGATGGTGTGGTCAGAGATAAATTAGGTAAATCCTTCATTTTGGGCTCTGAAAATTATGTGAAATAAAACTAATTGTAATATATGAAACCCTGACCCATTAGCTCATGATTATTGAAGCTCATACACGACACACAAAAAGGGAAATGATTGAGGAGGCATGTGGAGAAAATGCAAACTCTAAATCAAGTAATTTTAGCGTGTCAAAGTCATATTTATGTGAATAAAATATATTTTCCCAACTATAAAATTGTGGCTAGTGATGTTGGAAAACTACTAGCCACAGTGGCTGGTGTTTAAAAAAGTTCATGTCAAGCCCTGGTCATGAGTGTTTTAATTCATCAGTGGGCATTTTATCCAACAGTCTGTGACTGAATAATACAGTAAATGTAGAGTAGGATACAGGAGGTGTTGATGTCCAGATTGTGACTCAGACAGGCTGATTTGACTGATATCCATTATTGTTTCTGATGGAGAAACACAATCACCATGAGCTCAGTGTTATTATGCTGATAGAGCTGAACACACAGCAGCACTGAGCTCTCATCTAGACATTTACAGTGGACAAGATTGACAAATCAACATTGCAGCCGGTTTGATTTGATTGTAATCTCTTCAGTATCAGACAGGCCTTTTGTGTTTCACATCTCAGAGACTGAAAGCTCTTTTTGTCAAGCGCCATTGGCTGACTGAAATAATTAAACTGACAAATGATTTGTGTTTTATCATCACTAACATCATCAGACTAAAGTTGTTTACTTGTTTTATAAATAATTATTCATATTATTTTGATCATCTAAGAGTTGATTGTTGAAAACATTTAAAACATTTTATTCTGCTTAATATTTTAGTGGAAACTGCAATATATTTCACTTTCAGGATCCTTTGATGAATAGAAAGTTCAGAATAACTGCAACTGTTTGACTAAATCTTTCCAACAATGCAACATTTTACAGTCGTTTCTGATCCATTTATTGTGTCTTTAATGAATCTAAATATTATTCACATCTTTAATGGCACTCTTGAAAACTGATTCAACATTGATCAAAATAAAGCAGCAAATCAGCATATTATAATGACTGTAGTCTAGAGTAATGATGCTGAAAATACAAACATATTCACAGAGAAAATAGATATTTTAAATTGAAATAATGATGAATTTTATTATCTAATAATGAATCTTCAGTCAAAAACATCTAACCTGTAGTGTACGTATTGCTACAGATATAAATAACTGTTCAGTTAATCAGTGCTGTAAACAGAGACATTAATTATAGAAAATTTAGCATGAGATGGAAATTTGTCTAAAAGCACTTCCACAGCACAGATATGAACAGATATTTATTCAGCCTGATTCAGATGTTTGATGTTTTATGATAATATTTTGTGTTTTGTGACATTATTGGACCTCAGTCAACTAATATATTTATTTGTGCTTTTAGTTTGTACTTTAATAATAGATTCACTGAACTGGTGTGATGTGAGAGAGTGAAGAGTGTGTCATTGTTCTCTACAGGTTGAGTAATTGTGGTCTCACAGATGAAGGTTGTGCTGCTTTGGCTTCAGCTCTGAGATCAAACCCTGAACACCTGAGAGTCTTGAGTCTGTCTGGGAATAATCTATCAACATCCACAAAAAAGCTGCTCTTTCATCTAAAGGACAAACCACAATATAAACTGAACACATTATTCTTTTGTGAGTATGTTTTTAGGCTATAAAGCTCAAGTTCAGTAACAAAATCCAGAATATTTGGTAATAATTCAGCTTCACTGTAGTCTGTGCTTTAAACTGTTGAGTTTGTAAACCCTTACTAATCTGCTTGAGTTTTTCTGAAATGGATCTGCTGATGTGATTTGACGCCAATAATGTCTCTCATATGATGTGTGTGTGTGCGTGTGCGTGCGCATGCGTGCGTGTGTGTGTGTGTGTTTTATTGCAGGATTCTCAGTGTTTAGTTTGCTCAGGATCTGCTGATGGTGAATAAGGAGAAACGTCACAGACACACAATCAACACACACTGAAGACACACAGACTCACACTGACTGCACAACACTGGCTTGTTTTTATATGCAATGACCATGAAAATGAAAATGACGTCATTATATTGTTTAAGATCATCCAGATATTGATTATAGTGGAAAAGAGGATTTGAAAATGACAAAACTAAAGCACTCCTATTGTAATCAGTCAGTCATGTTGACATTGTGTAAATATGAAATGTTGTGCAGCACAGACAGCTTTGTTCATTATGCTGGAACAGTAAGATTTTTTTTAATTACATTTTTATCTTCAGTATAAACTTGAGAAATCAACAGAAGAGATGTTGTGACTGAAATGTGTCAGCAGAGGTCGACCAAGAACGTAAATCATTTCACTGAGCATTTAATTCTCTACAATATTTTAAATGAATGATCTGTAATTATTTAAATGTAAATTGTTTAACATGCTTATCCAACATTTAGTGTCTGTTTAACAATTTCCTGCTTTAAATAGTTTTTCTGAACAAGTATTTCTTCTGTGCATTTCTCTTGATGCCAAACATTTCTGAAGCCCACAACAAAAGCAGAGTATGTCAAGCCGTCTAACATTAAATCCATAACCAGTACTAGAATCTATTTTCATGTTACTAGTACTTATTTTTAGATACTAGTACCTTTTCCATTAAATAATAGTACTTATTCATTGCACACAATTGCCTATTCTTTAGATACTAGTTCTTTTAAAATATATATACTAGTGCTTCTTCATTAGACGCTAGTTCAGTTTAGTAGATACTAGTACTCATTCATTAGATGGGTCATTATCAATATAAAGTGCCTTTGAGGTATAAGGTAAAAAATTTTTGATATTTTTATTTAACCACATAGTTGTTTTTATAAATTATTTAGAATTTATTTATATAAATTAAATATTGGACAAAACATTATTACCCAATATAATATGCAATTGTTGCACATTCTTTTCAAAATAAAACTCAACATCTAAATTATTTTGTCAAACTTTTAAACAATATTAACTGGCCCTTATTGGTTAATTAAGAAACACACAAGATGTTTTGCGGAGGTTTGAAATAATTGGTTTATGAAAATAAAACAAAAAATAGTTGAAAAATAAAATAGTTGAACATTAAGGTGGAAAACAAGATGACAGGGTGGACATTGGCATGACAGAGTGGACAAAGGCTTTATTTAGTGAACTAAATATAGAGGAACATATAAAAAACAACAGGTACAACAAGAAATATTAAAGGATTTATATTTAAGGGTCGTAAACGCTTCAAGAATTCAACTTGTTTTCACCAACTACTGCAAACCAGTGAGCCACCATGCCGCCTCTTCTGTTATCAGTTAGGGTTTATTAATATGCAAATTCATGGGAAAAAAAAACAATTATTGTCCTTCAAATAAAAAAAAAAAGTCAGAATAAAGTAAATAATTAGATTACAGATGTTCACTTATATGTACAAATATGTAGGGCTGTACTTTTTTTTCTAGCCGTCAATGAGCTCCATAATATAGACTTTAAAGGGATATCCTATAAATGGACTGAGACAGATATTGCCGAAAGGTTTGTATTGTCCACTCATGTATCGCATCAACTGGTGCAGTATGTGTGTGTATAAGTGTTGTAACATAAAAACATGAACTAATTAACAATATATTATTAAATAAATACATAAAGTGTCAATAACAACACATATGTCCACCTAGTCAAGGAAGGATTTGTGACAGGGTGGACAATGACAGGGAGGACATTTTTTGCTAAAGATAGCATTTATTCAACGCACGCTGTACCTGCAGCTGGCAAAGTTTTTCCTCTGTTTAAACTCTTTGTACACAGTTTAAAAGCTGTATTTTAGATTTCAGAATTTTTTAAATATAAAGTTACTGTGTACATCAGGTGTTTTAACCTCCTCTGTAGAAAGGCAAAATGGGCACGGGGATGCCAGAGTACATCAGCGAGCCTCTTAAAGGGGCATTTACTACATCAGGACAGGGTGGACAGCAATTTCAACGACAAGAAAAATTAATAATAATATTATGAAAACAAAATAAAAGTTATTAAGATGACTTATTTTGTCAAATAACTTGTTGAAGACAATAAGAATATTTAAAAAATCTTTTTATTTAATTTACCTACTTTTTTAACTCGCTGAAGTTGGCTGAGCAGTGATGGACATGGCAAAATCACATCCATTCAATAAAAAAGTATGGCAAAATGGACAAAAACATATTTCAAAACACATATAATTCTACCTGCATGTGTAATGGTTTAACCAATCCTATTAAAACATCTGAATTGCATCATGGATATTCATATAGAACTGATTCAATATTGTGGGACATCAAAGTCACTTTATAGACAATGATAATGATCCTTATACAGAGACAGCTCAAAAACACCTGACTCGGGTTATACGGCAGCAGAAAGGCACACAGTCTGAATTATAAGACCCCCTTTGATTTTGATTTTTTTTTTTATATTTCCCAAATGGTGTTTAACAGAGCAAGGACATTTTCACAGTATGTCTGATAATATTTTTCTTCTGGAGAAAGTGCTATTTGTTTTATTTCGACTAGAATAAAGGCAGTTTTTAACTTTTTAAACTAAAAACTTAATTTTTTAATGTTTCTAAAAACCATTTTAAGGACAAAATTATTAGCCCCTTTAAGCTATATATATTTTGATAGTCTACAGAACAAACCATCGTTATACAATAACTTGCCTAATTACCCTAACCTGCCTAGTTAACCTAAATTTTAGATTTATTGAAATGACTGAAACTGGAGGTTTTATTTGTTTACAGAAATTGTGTTTTTACTCTGAGCACTGAAGAGTTCAATAGCAAAAAACATATTTTTGAAAAATTCTGTGATCAAATTATTGAATTGAACTCTTCATATTTCAGCCTTTATCATAAAAGACTGTTCAGATGTTGAATGATTATTGCACAGAGATGATGGCAATTTTACTTTAATTTTAAAATAAAAAATACAGTATTTTAATGTTGATGCATGTTGTCGCTGCTGTATTTTGTAGTTTATTTTAATGCACTTAAAGCTGAGGTATTTAGTATTTTATTTTAATACATTTTAATGTATTTTTGCCCTTCCCTGCTTTCACATGACTCTTATTGTGACAGAGGAAAAAACAATCTAATGTATTACAGAAACAGGTTCACAGCATCCTGTGTGAATTTTAATTAGTAGATCAAATCTGTCATTCAGCATTTAATCTCAAAACAACTACGAGAACTGAAGCAGTTTCCCAGTTGTGAACTAAACATGATCTGCAGTCAGTGTTGGGTAAAAAGTAATATATTACAATTTTAAGCCTTTCTTACATTTTTTGTTACTAATAAAAAAGAAAAGATAAACAAAAATCTGTGATCAAAATTATTTTTCAAAACTTTTGAGGCCAAAAGAATGAATTTACAGCCTGTTCGTGGTCATGTTATAAAGCTCTCAAGTTTAATTAGCTCTCAGATTAATACAAATTTCCCCGTTTATTTATTCGGTTTATTGTGTTTTGTCCTAATAAATAAATTATATTTTGTTGATATGTGCAAACACATGATGAAGGCTGTTGTCTTACCCCTATGCGATTAAATTCCTGAATAAACAGCAGAATCAGCGAGAGTCCGTCAAAGGTTATGGTAAGATGCTCTGTCGCGCGCAGAGGAGAGAGATATGCACACACACTCACGCACACACGAACCCGCGCGCGCGAGAGAGAAAGAGAGAGTTTCCTCAACCAGAGCTTTGACATGTCTGGGTCAAATGACATGTTAATATCCATCCATCTGTTCTCCAAATCGCGTATCTCATATCGGGTCACAGAATATATCTGGAAGAAAAAACTTTTTACATTAAATGTATGTTTTTACGGTAAGATCTGTTTTAGAAAAGTATGTGGCCCCACCTGCTGGACAATTATTAAAAGTACAGACTGGTACATTCAACACCAAAGAGTTTTTTTTCCAATATTTTAGATGCCTTCCCCTTTAAATATCGTCAAGCGAGGGACAATCGAAATTATCAAAATGTCAAAGTTAATCTGTAGATTGCTTCAGTCTTTTTGGATTTAAATACATTTGATTTCATCTGTGTTTGTACCCTTTTAGGACGATCAGAGTTTGATCTCATTTGTTTATGTGTGTGTTCGCCTCTAGCGGCGAACTATTGCGATCTTCAAACCTTTTGAGAAACCTTGATTGTTTCAAGCGCTGATCAATATACTATGTTTGGCTAACTGAATCTTTGTTTTTATTTTTAAATGAAGGTGAATGCCTTACTTTACTTTTTATTGCATAACAAGAACAATAGCATACAAAAAGTGAGCACTACAATGCTTACAATCTTTTTCACATCAAAGGACCAAATCACTAGAGAATAAAAAAAAACATATATAAAATTATATATAAATTACAAAGAAATTGCAAAGGAAAAGGATTCCAAAATTGCATACATCCTTATAACTTTTTATTTTTAAAGTATTTAGGGTTGCGATACAATGCTTAAGATTAATTTTAAACAAATAAATGTTAGGTTTATCATTAGACCATTCTGTTTGTGTACATGGTTCTTCTCAAGCAGAGAATATATAATAATGATATATAATCATTAAATTAATGAACAAATTTTGCTCCAAAGTTTTATTATTATTATTGTATATCAAAAAATATCTTTACAGGAAAACTGAATCTCTAATTTTGTAAGTTTAAATATAAGATATTCAACATCAAACCATATACCATTTGGGTATATGTGCATTAAAAAAATAAATGTTTTATCGATTCCTCCCTCTAATTCACCAAAATTGCTCGCAGATTACAGCTCTAAAAACTCTAACTTTACTGTGTCTAGCCGTATCTAACACTGTGCGTATTGTGACGTCACCCTTCCGGTGTCACAAGTACAAACAAAGTGAAAGCAGGGTTGCTATTGCAGACTTTCATTTGTATATAGAATCGCTCCAATATATTAAGAGCGAAAAATGTATAAATACAATTATTGTGGCAAAGGAGCTTAAGTTAATTGATTAGTACTCTTGCTGTTAATTGGTTAAGTTAAAATATTATCAATGTAAAGACCTCTATGTTGTATTGTCTGTTTCATTTGTTTAATTTATGTAATTTATTTTAATTTATGTTATTAGTTACTTTTGAATTTTGGATGTCATGTTAAAATTGTATATTTGTTGTTCAATAAAAAAAAAAAAAAAAAAAAAAAAAAAAAAAAAAAAAAAAAAAAAAAACAAAGTGAAAGCAGAAGTTCTCCGTCGAGTCGATCCGTTAGTCTTCATTATGGAGCCTCACAATAGTTCATAAGAACTGTTTAAAAACAAAACAGGAGTTTACATCTTTCATAGGGGTTAAATAATTATAACTCCATCAGCTTAGTCCTAATGCAGGTCTACGGTTTATAACAAGTTGATGAAGGTGAGTGAAACAGGAAACTGCGACTTCATACATGCTTTTTAGAAGAATTGCATTGCAGGCCCGTAGCCAGGAGGGGTTCGAGTGGTTCGAAAGACCGACCCCTCGTCGACAAAGGTCCAGGATTTGTTTCATAAATGATCTTTGTCCTTTTTTTTACTGCTTTGCCATAATAAATTGTGAAAATAACCCCATTGAAGAAGGCTTTAATACCTACACTGTAAAAAATGGCCGTGACTTCAACGGTAAAAAAAACTGTAAAAATGCTACTGCACAAATCTGTTACCTGGTTAACGGTAAATTTCCTTAATATATTAGGCGAATAACCGTAAATTGACTTTCCCATAATTCCCTGCATGGCACATGACATTAATATGGATGTTTTTAGTTGTTTCCCCATCATGTACATTAGAGATTTATGTTACATCTAATGTTGATAAACAAAGTTATTTCATGACTTTATTTTATGCGTGTTACCATACTGGTGTTTAGTAGCTGTGTGAATGACACTGAGCACCTTCTATATGCTAATACTGTTTTCTGCTTGTGGGAAAAGGTAAATGTGATGAGCATTGGTTCATTATATAACATCCTCATCACTACCTGCATGTGGGTGTGCTAGCGTGTCTCACTGTGTAACAAAAGATGTGTAGATATTGATCATTCAAAATACAGACATATTACCTCTATAAATTAATAAAATACGGTAATTTACTGTAAAAATGAAAAATAACTTCTTTTTAAGGGTAAAGTACTGTCAACCACAGCTGCCGTTTTTTTTACCGTAAATTTTACGGATTTATTTTTTACAGTTGAAGGATTCGGATTTCTGCTTTCCGATCCGTCTCATCATGAACCAACGTTTATCCTTTTCATCATCCTGTTTCTCAGTATTTAACTGTGAATTGATTTTAATTAATGAATAAGTTAAAATATTGCTTAATATAAGAATGTTCAGTGCATGTGCCAGTCTCTTTATAGCTATTTTCAGAAGCCACCAAACTAGGTCAGAGGTCACGGAGACCTTGAGTGGAACTGAGTGGTGAGGACTGGAAGCAACTGTTTTTATTGTTATTTCTATGAGTTAATACTGTCTAATATGTTTAAAGTGATTTTGCTATTTTTACGGTTAAATCTTTTAAAGTGATTCTACTTTTTATTCAAGATAGACTTTGTGTAGTAAGGAATTATAACTGCCTGAATGTAGATGATACCAGTTTTTAACCAGTTTTAATAAAGACGGCTGAGAGTACACTCAGCCTTGGATAAGAAACAGATTATACTTTGTGTGTGTGTTCTATTTGATTGTTGATCCGTTTCACAGGTCTGGAGTCAGCTTTAATCAGTCTAAGGGATGTCTGACGTTTATGCTTAAGATGTTCAGAATTGTGCGCACGAACCCCACGTGGAAATTTTTCTAGTCATTCTTTGGGTCAATCTGTAAACTATCCCTACACAGTGTAGCTGAATCCTGGCTGTGTGCTGGCCAGTTTGTTATTTGCCTAATAAAGACACTAGGCTAGTTTTAATTTAAAACTTTAACAGATTCACAGATTTCACAGATTTTTTTCTAATGGTATATAACACTTTTGTATTTAATTATTCTCATATTTCTTTAATCTAAGTGTTTAGGAAATGTTTTTGACACATCAAAAAGTGTGGTTTTGATGACCATCAAATAAGCTAATCCAGCTAAAGATAGTGCTTAAAATGTCTCTAAAATTCAGGATTTAAACCTCTTTATTAAATAGAAAATGAGGTGAACAACTGCAAAAAGGTCCACTTTTTAGGAAAAAAAGAATCACCTCTTTCACCAGACTGGCTGCAGGCCTGAAATGTAAATATGATTTAAATGTTTTTGATATGTTTATAAAAGTTTAACATAAACCTTTTGTGTTAGTCCTGTGGATTATATTTAGGCGAGATTCCTCGATATGTTTGTAAAACTGTTAATTTAAAAGCAATTTAACCTGGTTTATTTTTGCTCATTGACTCTTGGTACTCGTACAGCCGATTTAACGTTTCTTTGTTCTTTCTGTCCAATCAGTGGTGCAGATCAGATCCTGTTTCATAATGGACGACACACAAATATCCAGAGATGAAAATGTTTCTCCAGGATGCAGGTACTTTGAGTTTATTACACAAGTAATGGAGAGGAAAGCAAACTGCTGTGAAGTTAATGTACTGCACAAATGTAGACATTTACAGTGTACTGTTTGATTAAAAAGTGCAATTTAAAAATTTCTAATCTTATTTAAATATAATATAAATAGTGATTAAGATGAATTGGTCTGTTATTTTCTGTTATAGTTCAGTTCATCAGAAGAGATCAGATCCAGAGCCCAGCTGTGTGTCTATGAGGAGTGACCGGTCTATGAATCCTCCAAAGAATTTTAGAAGTGAAAATACACAGATTGATCTCAGGTATAAGATTTCTACTGAAGATACTGTAGAAACTTTAATGCTACAGTGTTTTAGTTGTATATTATATTATTATTTTTTATTGGTCTCTAATATTTTAACTAGTGTTGCTCAGATGAGGATACTGTTTGTAAAATGCTCAGTTTACTTTTTTGTATGAACAGTCAAATGTTTTCAATAAGAACTTCCAGGATTTGTCTTGTGAAGTTTTAGTTTCTTTCCTTGTCATCCTTGTCTAAATAGTTTCCTCTTTCCTGTGAGTAAATTACCTTTTGTTGGTTAGTGTTTACATACAAGAGCTCGACCGGGATGTGTCTGCTACTTTTTAAACAGGATAATAAAGTTAAACTATTAAAATGTAGCAGTAATGAATTTGTTCTAGATATTTGTGGTACTTGATTTTAATAAAAATATAAAGGTTCTTAACAACAAATTTGAGGTCACCTTAAGTTTTAGTTTTTTCTAGAATTGCACTTCTAGCACAATGTGAGAACAGTCAATTCTGTCTATAATTAATCTTACATTCTGTGAAAATGGCCATTTAAAGTAAAATATTTGTACTTTGTTTATTTGTATTTGATGTAGTTCATTTCATCACAAGAGAACAGAAGCAGAGGCCAGCCGTGTGTCTATGAGGAGTGACACGTTTATGAATCATCCAATAAATATGGGGAATGGAGAAACACAGTGTAATATCAGGTAAACTATTTCTTTAAAAGATTTAATCACAGAAATTAAAAAGGCAGCATGCTTATTAACTCATGTTACTATGTGGTATTTTCCAGACAAAATCTGCCGAACACATTCAGATCAAATCTGCTGAAGAAGTTTGAGTGTCTGTATGAGGGAACAGAGTCGCAGGGAAACCCAACACTCCTGAATGAGATCTACACAGAGCTCTACATCACAGAGAGTGAGAGTGGAGAGATCAGTCATGAGCATGAGGTGAGACAGATTGAGACACAATCCAGGAGATCAACAACAGAGGACACAGCGATCAAATGCAGAGACATCTTTACACCTTTACCTGGACAAGACAAAGCCATCAGAACTGTGCTGACGAAGGGAGTCGCTGGCATCGGAAAAACAGTCTCTGTGCAGAAGTTCATCCTGGACTGGGCTGAAGAGAAGGAGAATCAGGACGTCCAGCTCATATTTCCACTTCTTTTCAGAGAGATCAATCTGATGAAGGACAAAACACTCAGTCTGTCAGATCTTCTTCTGCTCTTTTTCCCTCAAACTAAAGAAATGGAAATATCCAGTGACAAATATAAAGTGCTGTTCATCTTTGATGGTCTGGACGAGTGTCGTCTTCCCTTAAATTTCAAAAGGAATAAGACTCTGAGGGATGTGACCAAAACATCATCAGTGGACGTGCTGCTGACAAACCTGATTGTGGGGAATCTGCTTCCCTCTGCTCTCATCTGGATCACCTCCAGACCGGCAGCAGCAGATCTCGTCCCCTCTGAGTGTGTCCATCGAGTGACAGAGGTACGAGGCTTCAATGACCCTCAGAAGGAGGAATACTTCAGCAAGAGAATCAGTGATCAGAGTCTGGCCAATACAATCATCTCACACCTGAAGTCCTCCAGGAGCCTCTACATCATGTGCCACATCCCAGTGTTCTGCTGGATCTCAGCCACTGTTCTGGAGAAGATGTTGAGTGAAGCAGAGACTGCAGAGATTCCCAAGACTCTCACTCAGATGTACACACACTTCCTGATCCTGCAGACCAACATCAAACATCAGAAGGACTATGAGGAGAAGCTGACAGATAAAGACATGATCCTCAAACTGGGGAAAGTGGCTTTTCAGCAGCTCATGAAAGGCAATCTAATCTTCTATGAGGAAGACCTGAGAGAGTGTGGCATTGATGTGGCAGAAGCTTCAGTTTACTCAGGATTGTGCACTCAGATCTTCAGAGAGGAGTTTGGCTTGTATCAGGGGAAAGTCTTCAGCTTTGTTCATCTGAGCATTCAGGAACATCTAGCGGCTCTATATGTGCACCTCTCCTGTATAAACAACAACAGAAATGAGTTTAAGCAAATCAACAAACCGAGTTTGTGGTCTAAAGTTAAAGACTTGTTTCAGCTCAATTCTTTAGAATGTGTTTCATTATCCAAACTGAATCAGCGAGCTGTAAATGAAGCTCTAAAGAGTCAAAATGGACATCTGGATCTTTTCCTGCGGTTTCTTCTGGGTCTGTCAGTGGAGTCTCATCAGATTCTCCTAAAAGGACTAATGACACTGAAAAGCAGATCAATGCAGAATAATAAAACAGTCGAGTACATCAAGAAGAAGATCAGGACCATCGACTCTCCAGAGAAATTCATCAATCTGTTTCACTGTCTGAATGAACTGGGTGATCATTCACTAGTGGAGGAAATACAGCAGTTTCTGAAATCTGGAAGAATAAACAGAGCCAAACTCTCTTCATCTCAGTGGTCAGCTGTAGCGTTTGTGTTGTTGACATCAGAGAAGAAGCTGGAGGAGTTTAATATTAATGAATTTGTTGCTGAAAACAATAAAACTAAAAAACAGCTAATTTTTAAGAAGCTGCTGCCCGTGATTAGAGAATGCAGATCAGTTCAGTGAGTATTATTAGCTCTGTTTTCATCGCCCTGTTTTAATGCACCCTGTTTTTATTAATGCGCAGGCCCGTCTGCTATGCCACTGTCAGTTCTGTCTTCATGTACTGATGTATTCACAGCTGCGAAATCATGTGACGTAAAAAATACCATTTTAACCAGTAGAGCTACACATAATATTATTGTTGTTGTTTTATCATATGTTTGAGAATAATAATAATAATAATAGCCCACTCATATTAACCTTTATTTTACATGTACAGAATCATGAGAAAATTATGATCTTTATTTTACGCAAAATAATCACGATTCTCATTTTAGCAAGAATCGTGCAGCTCTATTCTGAAGCTCTGCTTAAATACTGACTCCATTTTGATAACTGGTCAACAGCTGGTAGATTGAGTCAGAACAGATCAGGATATTTCTAGACAAACTGTGATTTCCAATTGAAATGTAGACATAAATATATTGTTTTTAATTGTGATTTTGTACATGGTAAACAAACAACAGATTTGTACCTGGTAAACAATTTACGCCAAGAAGGGTCACAAAGAGGCGGCTGTAATTTCGCTACATTTCTCAAATGTTTGCAAGCATTTATTAGATTATCAGACATATTTGCATGAGCGAATCCCTTCATGGTGAGTAACAATTACTATGACAATGGTAATAAATTCAGCTTTGTTTACGCTTTGTGTTCATGCACAGCCGTTTGGTCCAGACCTCTATGGTCCAGATGCAAACCAACATGAAGCAACAACACAGTTCGGTTTCGTTGGTGCTACTTGTTTGGCGTCAGCCTTGTTTGTCCCAAACTGATGTGATGTGAGAGAGTGAAGAGTGTGTCGTTGTTCTCTACAGGTTGTATGATTGTGGTCTCACAGATGAAGGTTGTGCTGCTTTGGCTTCAGCTCTAAAATCAAACCCTGAACACCTGAGAGATCTGAATCTGTCTAGGAATAGACTAAGAGATTCAGTGACTCTTCTCTCTGCTGTACTGGAGGATCCTCACTGTAAACTGGAGAAACTGGGGTAAGATTATATTTGACTTTTACATGTGAAACGCAGTATAGAGTAGATGTAAATCCATACTGCATACAAATACAGTTAAAAGATTTTTCAGTATTTAAAAAAATATATACATATATAACATAATAATAATATACACTGGTAGACCTTACTGGGCTTATTTACAGTAGAATACTTTCAACACTGTTGCCAGCTACTCACTGTAAAAGTTTGGTTACAGTAATTAACTGGCAACAGTGTGCCGTAATAGAGCAGTAGTGGTAACTAACTGGAAACTGTGTACAGTTAATTACTGTAGTGTAGTGTTACAACTTACAGCATTATACTGCATACACATTAATAGTATGTCATAGTGTTACTAAAGTTAATTAGTATACTTACCTGTTACTAAAAATAGAAGGCATAAAAATTCAGACAAATGTATTATATTGTTTTGGCAGCAAACAAATATACAACAGAAAATGTGTAACAAAATTAAGAAATCAGCAGATATAAATATCGTCTTACATATTACTGAGAGCCACAGGTCTGCACAGTAAGGCTGCGGTCACACTAACGTTTGAGCATGCGAAATTCTGTCGTACGGCACTGCGAAAACGAGTGGGATTAAATAAAATAATTAGAGATTGAAAAAGTGAGCAACTGGTCCATAGTTTAAATTTCTGTCCAGAGATGTCATGTTTTAATCTTTGATTGGTCTCAAGCAATCACATGATGTGATTTTGCAGGTCAGAGTTCTTGAACTTTCCAATGCTGCGAAGTGTGAAATTTGTCGCATTAGCTTGCATTCCAGGTCTGCAGCATTCACATTCGTATGAATGGAAGTCTACAGGGAGAAAAGTGCAGTGTGACTGGGATTTTAAGCTGTAACTTTAATTAAACACACCTGATCAAACTAATTAAGGCTCGTTAGAAATCTACAGGTAGGGATGGCTGACGTGAAACTGGCGTTTCGACACAGTGTCGAGATCCCGAAGCGCAAGTGTTTCGAAACACTGCACCGAAGCATGATCCGAAACACCCAGGTCACGTGACTAAAGTGTTTCGAAACACTTGGTCACGTGACAAAAGCGATTCAAAGCATCGATCATTTCAGAGGCGTTTCAAGACCCGGAGAATCTGCATTTGACTGGCATGATCTTTAATATAATACTATCTAGTATGGCCTAGTGGACTGTGCGTGTACACTATGGTGCTGTATTTCAAATTTATTTTGGGTTCGAATCTCGACTAGTACAAATACTCCAAAATCATGATTTTATGTATTTTAATCATGTTACTGTTTTATGGTGTAGCCTAGATAGGATACAGCTGCGGATATGCCATCAATTTAGCATCTTTTTTGTAATACTGTAAAACAATAATTCATATTTTTA